CAGAACAAATGGTCAAATTTATTTGATGGGATCAAGGAGAAAAGATTGTGGCAGGGAGGGAAATATTTTCCTTATGAAATAATTGTGCAAAGTAAATTTTCAAGATTCTATTATAAAATTTCAAACCACAAAAATCATACCCCAATTAAAATGAGCTGTGAAATGTGATCTCAAACATTGCAGGGACAGTACAGTAACGAAGATTGACATTGTTCTGTGTAATAAAGAGCACAGTCCAGATGGCTGAGTTGCCTGCTCTGTGTCAGGAATCAGGACATCTGTTCATTTCTTGATCGAAACGTACAGTGAGACTTGGATCCAGTCTCACTGTATGTTTCTATCTAGAAATGAACAGATATCCTGAATCCTGACACAGGAAAACATGTAGGTGGCAATGACAGAACAAGAGAAGAGGTTCCACTCAGTGTAATGTAAACTGTAATATTTATTATCAATATTACAAGTTTGGATTCTTGGATTCTGGAATAGTAAGCAATATGGGCTTTTCTGTGTGTCTGAAGTTAATAATTAACTTGTAAGTGTCTCTACAGCCATGGTGATTTCATTTAAAATCAGTTTTTGAGGCCTAGCTTTAGAATTAATTGGTCTTCGTGGATATTGGTGGGGTTTCACGACCAAATAAGATAACAAGTCACAATTTAGAAGGAATTTCTTAAGCCTAAGAGAAACATTCCTTGATAGATTTTCTTTGAGTTTTGAACATTACTGTGAAGTACTTGAAGATAGCTGTCTCAACCAGTGCTCCTGAGAAAGGAAAGATATAGTGAAATTAGATTATCTTTGAATAATGAGTTAGTGTTACTGCTGGACCAAAGGTATCAGTATAAAATGGTGAAAAGCTTACTTAAAGCTGAGGATATTTGAGCTCAGGTGTATAATACCTGCAGGAAGAAATTATTCTCAGCTCCAATCTTTAACTTAAAGTCACAAGTGTTTTAAACCTTCTGAGGTGTTAGAATCAGAAACTGTGGTGTGAGTACTGCCTGAGTGGTGTTTTGGTTACTACACAAAAGCTATTGTTTCTCTTTTAACTTTACAAAAGAGAGTTTTAGACTAATGGGGTTATATTTTTAATGCGTGATTAAAATCTTTGAATTTGAGTAGACAGTTTCGTTTCTATTTTTATCTTTTTTGTTCATAAACAATGTTTTACTGTGAAAGTAAAATCTGCAGCATCGTGTGCTTATGTCTCAGCAAGTAAGCATTTTATTAAAAACAAAACAAAATCTATTCTATCAAGACAGGTGTCAATCTGACATTTGACTTATCTAACAATGACATCAGCTGGGATTATAACAACAGTCAGTATGAGGAGACAAGCATCAAAAAAGCAGAATGTGAAATGTCATAACCTCCGGATTCTTACCTGCACCATATGCAAATAGGCATAGAGTAAATCAGATTAGAGAGATGAATGCATGTTTAGCATAGGAGATGGATTTCAGTTCATGGGGCACCGGAACTAATTCTAATAAATTGGGATCTATACGATCATGAAGGGAATTAAAAACAAAAATAGGAAAATTATATTTCAGTCACACACAGGACTGCTGTGTCTGCATTTGGAACATTGTACACAGTATTGATAATCTTATTTGAGGAAAGATGAAAACGTGTGGAGGCAGTTCAGAGACGGTTTACACGACTAATGCTTAGAACTGGGGAGGACTTATGATAAAGGGTTAAACAGGATAGGCTTTTATTCACTGGAGTTTAGAAAAAGTTAAGGTGTGAATTGATCAAAACATACAAGATTCTGAGCGGTCTTAACATATTAGATGGGGAAAGAATGCTAACTCCAATGGGGGAATCTAGAATGAGGGGTTACTTTCAAAATCAAGGGTTGTCCTTTTAAAATAGAGGATTGGATATAATTCTTTCCCTGACAGAGTGACACAATTCTTTGAAGCACTCTTCCTGAAAACATAATGGAAGCAGAGTCCTTGAATATTTTTAAGGCAGAGAAACGTAGATTCTTGATAATTAAGGAAATGAACAGTTATTAGAGAAAGGTGGGAGAGTTTGCACATTCTCCCCGTGTCCGCGTGGGTTTCCTCTGGGTGCTCTAGTTTCCTCCCACAGTCCAAAGATGTGCAGGCTCGGTGGATTGGCCTCGCTAAATTGGCCATAGTGTTCAGGGATGTGTAGATGAGGTGGGTTATAGGGGGATGGGTCTGTGTGGGATGCTCTGAGGTTTGGTGTGGACTTATTGGGCCAAAGGGCCTGTTTCCACAGCGTAGGGGTTCTATGAATGTTCATTGAGGTTATAATCAGATTAGCCACAATCTTATGGAATGGTGGAGCAGGCTCAAGGGACTGAATGGCCTCCTTCTGCTCCTAATTCGTAAATTTACATATAAGTTCATAAAAACGATACGAATAATTGAATTAGATAGTGAAGAAAGGTTTAAAAAATGGGAATGCTGAAGGAAAATGGAGAACAGACAAACAGAATGAGAGTACCAATAAAATGTTAAATAGTGCATTAAAGGTAGCAGCGTTCGGGCCACTGAAGCCAGGGTTCGTCCACTTTTCTTTTTACATTTTTTTTATTCTCACTTTTTCTTTAAAGTCTTTCCTCTTACCTTTTTACCTTGGTTGCATCAGTGAGAGTGGGCCCTGCACAGAATGGCGGACAAAGATGGCGAAGCTGACCCCGGGAGTGGCAAGGCAGAGTTAATGACGAAGAAGGCATCCAGCAGTGGCAGCAGCAATGCCAGGATGAGGCAGACACGACTCCACCCCAGCCCAAAGTCTCCCAGCGAGCAAGGAGCAGGACCTGGGCTTAATCCCCATGATCCAGACTCGCAGGCTGGAGCTGAGGGGCCAGGTCTGTGACCAGGCCCGGGTGTCTGATAGCACAGGCAGCGAGTTCAGTCCCAACGCGGGACCCTGTGACACCAGCTGCAGCTGCATCAGCAAGGTCGGCCCAGCATGAATCATGTCGGCAGCGTTATCGAAGGTGAAATGGCAACGGAGAATGGCGATACATTCCAGTGGTAGCAAAGTGGAGAAATAGGGTTACAGCAGTGTTGTCAGTTTAGCAGTAAGGACGAGACATTGGGGTGGTGGAGCCCAAATCCAAGCCTATGGCTGAGCTAGAAGATAGATGACGGCAAAGCAGTAGACATTGTTTACTTGGACTTTAGTAAAGCCTTTGACAAGGCCTTCTACATGGTAGACTAATTGGTAAAGTTAGATCAATGGGATTCAGGGTTAGCTTGCCAACTGGATAAAAAATTGGCTTAATGGCAGTGGACAGAGTGATGGAGGAGAGTTGTCTTTTAGACTGGAGACCTGTTAAAAACAGTGTTCTGCAGGGATCCGATTTTGTTTGTCATTTACATAAATGATTTAGATGAGAATATAGAAGGCATGGTTAGTAAGGATAACCACAAAATTGGTATAGTGGACAATGCAGATATCTTGATCAATTAGGTCAATGGGCTGAGGACTGGCTAATGCAGTTTCATTTGGATAAATGCAAGGTATTGCATTTTGATAAAACAAACAAGGACAGGAATTATACAATTAAAGTAGGGCCTTGGGTAGTGTTGTAGTACAGAGAGACCTCAGAGTTCAGGTACATAATTCTTTGAAGTTTGCTCAGATCTCTTGAGCATAGGATTGGTATGGTCTTTTCTGGATTACTGTGTCCGGTTCTCGTCGCCCTTTTATATGAAGGATATTATTAAGATGGAGAGGGTTCAGAAAAGATTTACCAGAGAGTTGCCGGGAATGGGGGGTTACATTATAAGGAGAGGCTGACACTTTTTTCACTGGAGCATAGGAGGTTGAGGGGTGACCTTACAGAAGTTTATAAAATGAGGGGTATAGATAAAGTGAATAGCATATGCTTTTCACTAAGATGGGAGATTTCAAGACTAGGAGGCATTTTTTAAGGTGAGAAGAGAAATATTTCAAATTACAATGGGGGCAATCTTTTTACACAGAGAGTGGTACATGTGGAATATATTTCCAAAGGAAGTGGTAGATGTGGGTACAGTTACAACATTTAAAAGACACTTGGATAAGTACATGAATAGGAAAGGTTTGGAGGGATATGGGCCAAGTGCAGGCAGGTGGGACTCGTCTAGTTTGGGACTATGGGCGGCATGGACTGGTTGGTCCAAAGGGTTTGTTTCCATGCTGTATGACTCTGTGACTCTAGAGACCTAACTTTATTGAGATAAGACTATAAGATGAACTTTATTGTTGTATTTTTCTGGCTCTATATTCTGTGCTTTGGTTTATTTTCCTTGTTTTAAGATGGCGCAGGAGAGTGGAGAAACTAAATACTTTTCACTGTATTTGTAATAAATACACATGACAATAAATCAAATCAAATCGTATCAACAACGGTCTTGCAAGTTGCTTCTCATCCTCCTCTTTGTAATGTCTCTAATTCCACTCTCTGGTATAATCCCAGAGACTTTTGCACTCATATTTTTAATGCAACAAATTGCTTTTAAAAGCATGGTTTCAGCCTCTTTCAATGACAGCACTTAAGCTAAAAAGAGAACAAAAATCAGTTTGGCCATGATAATGTAAATTGCCTTACAACCATCAGCAAAGTATGAGCTAACTTTGCACCAATAGAGACACCATTGTTGGGTTCTCCTCTGAGGCTGTTCAGATCAGCATCTGTTGCCTGCTACACTAAAGGGTTTCTGCTGAACTTTCAAAAGGAGACCCAGTCAGCAGACTCAATGATGAAGTTTCTGGCTTTTCATTTGCCATGATGTAAAATATCTTGGAGTTCCAGTGAGGTTTTATTACAGAATTAGCACAACACTATCTTGTCAAGGGCAGAGAAAATGACTGGGTAAGCATGGTTCATGGCGTGTTTGAGTCTATATTAACATATGAACAGAAATAAATTGAAGTTCACCTGAATTGATATATGTACAGATTTTATCAGGGTTTCACTGAACTGGTGTCTTTGAGACATGCAGTTAAGAAGTAGGTACAGCTTCATAATCATTGTGAAATACTTTATTGGTCACAAAGTAGTTACATTGCAAATGGTCTACAATTCTTACTTCCATAATGCCACTAAATATATCTAATTCCTTTGACTTCAGTAATTTTAATGGAAAGATGCAGAATGAAATAGGGAAAGTTGCAAACAGTGAAAGATACTATTCAACTACTGTTTTGACTTTATTAATTTAGTCATTTAAATGATCAACTGTTCCAGTTCCTTTGCTTGTGCTTGTGTCACTGATGATTCTAAGATGAGAATCAGTAACAATTCAGGGTTCAGTGGCCATGTTTTGAATAAAGAAGTCAAGTATTACATCAGTTAGCACACTTGAAAGGAGCATGCAGCTAATCCCAGCACGTTCCATACCCTACACAGCACTAACTTACATTTTTGCAGTGATCTGTTGCAACGTGCTTATTTAAAAGTACTATTAATGTCCACTCTGCAAATACACTTCAGTTCTGTGATTCACAGAAACTAATGCAACAGATCAAACATAAAAACAGAAAATGGCTTAAAATCTTTGTTACAAAATGATACATAATTTCATTAAGTCAACTTCTATCTTGTAGAATGATTAATGCGTTGGACGTTTCAATAAGAAAGCATGCTCTGTGATTGATCATTCACTGCTATAGATATTTTGGGATAGTAAATTCTTTCTTTAAATATTATGCAGTTTAATTGTGAAATGAAAACAGGATTAAAGGCACATACAGCCTTAAATGTAAATAAAAATTTATTTGCTAACAGGTTAAAACTGACAATCTAACTATTTCAATAAAATAGCATTTAAAATTAAACACTCACTGTACAACTGTAGAATTACAGAACGAAAACTACATCATGAACCTGATGTATTTACAACAATAGCAAAACAATGGTTACTAGCATTATACACAACAATGGCTTTGTCAAATTTTAATAAGTCACCGGATGAAAGTGCACCTCTTCCTTGCAGATCTTTGATAAAGAAAGTATTGCACTGGTCATGACAAAAACTGTTACAAGAGTTTGGTCCTTTAATCTAAAATCAGGAGAATTGATTGTCTTAGTTTTACAGATCTGTGAATTGATATCTTCCAAAGAAGAGGTGCAATCTAGGACTTGAAGTGAAACAGAATTGTGTTAATGTTCCTGAATGTTTAAAACAAGTAACTGCATCATACCAGAGATTAGACAAGAGTCAGAATAACTATGTACCACTCTCTGTTTGTGCAGGACTAAGCATTTTAAAATGAGAGTGTAACTGTATGTACAATTTTCTATTAATAGTTATTTTAGTTATGACAAAGGTTTACAATTTGAGATCCAAATTCAGTGATTCATTTTCTACTGGATTTAATCATCACATTATAGTCAATACTTGACCTAAATACAGGCTGAGCAGAGACACTTGAAATCACACGAAGCTGCTAAAATATTCACTTTGACCAAGATGAAATTTTAAGAATTGTGTGACCCAGTTTCAAATTTTACTCTAATTTGGAATTTTAGTCCAGTACATAGTGAGCTAAGAAAACAATTTTCTTTAAGCTGTAATGAATTAATATTGCGCAACATAGGAAAAATGAGTTGGGAGGCAATTAAAAGTGTCCATTATTTCTTAATTGAGTTATTCATTGTGCAAAAATAAAATTCCACACAGTGTCTAAGCTGAATCTATAAAAGGCTGTGACTCAGCATCGCTGGACTAACATGGGGAAAAATGTCTAAATTGCTATCCAGTGGCCTCTGGTGGAAAAACTGTCTGTGTGGAGATTGGCTTAAGACCGACTCAACTATGAGAACTTCTGCCAAAAATCCCCATCTCACCTAAGAAATGAACACTCTCAGGAAACTAAATTTTTGGGCGACAACTTATGCGGTCACATCCAGCAAACACCTTCGGGAAAAGAAGGAAATATTGGGTGAAGGTGTTTAAAGAAGAATGAAAAAAGAAACTACTGCATTTTCATGGTATTCATCACATAGATTCAATCTGACTAAGGTATCATTGTAATATATCCATTAAAATTCTGCAGGGTACAAGACTAAATTACTACCAATCTGCACCAAAACAACACTAAAAATATCAAAGACTGTTTAAATATAACGCTGAAAGGAAGCAACGTCTCTCTCTGCTGATTAAAGGAATTAAGACTTTTCACATGCTTGGTTCAGCTGAACTAAGTATTTTGTGCATTGCACAAAAGTTAAGTCACACATTTATCAATTAATTACAATATATACTACTTCAGTGAATGTGGAGATGATGAATGGCGTAATGCAATGATCTGTTCTCTGGACTACAGACAGCACAGGAAATGACCAGATCAGAAATCATGGAACATTAGGAAAATGAGACTCTGAACTGGAATCAAATCAAATGCAGTCTTTTTTTCCACTTTTATCATCTTCCTCAATTCTAACCCAAGTAATTTTAATTCACAATTTAAAACATATGTACAAATAAGTATCTGCTCAGCCAATAAAATGGTCAAGTTAACTCTTGAAACAATTACATGAGAAGATATTTTACATTTAAAAGAAAATAGGTTACAACAACAGAATATTTACCATGTTAATACTGAACAAAATTTCAACCTAGTAAAGCAGGTGAATTTCAAGAGCTTATAATTCTAGCTTTAAGGCACTAGAAATGGGCTTCAAAATTTAACCAATTAACCTTTCGCCCTGAGACAACTGCTTCAACACTTATCTATTGTGCAAATAAACAAAATTTTTTTAAAAAGTTAATACTAAAACCAAAATGCTCACAAAATCGTCTCTTGCTAATTGTGACAAGAAACAGAACACAATTAGATCAGATTATTTAGTTTTCAAATAATTCTACCATGACAATAGCAATTTCAAACTGAAAACTCTGAGATGTGCAGAAGCTAAAATAATGTGGTCCACAGTTTGTCTTTTTCTTCATGACATGTCTGTTAGACTCCAGTTTTTCCCTTATTTATCCAGGTCAACAGGTTTTGTGTCACTTGGTATTGTTACAGAAGAATTTTGAATTAAGTACTGAACTCAGATGTAAACATAAACTTTCATGACTGCAACTATAGGGAATGTTCAGTCATCTGTTGACATAATTTCAAGAAAAATGCAAACAAATTGATGTTGGATATTCACCTGTTGATACTCAAATTAAAACAAGTAGATAGCAATACTGCCAGCTATAATAATAAAGCTAGTTGTGACAGAAATATAAATATCTGAAATAGTCATGTTTACTGGCATAATTTGTAGACTTTGAAATTGGATCCTGCAAGATTAAGGCAGAATGTACAAAACAGGCTAGGGAGCTTTCACAAATTTGAGGCGGTTTAGATTTTAATGTAATTCTATCCTAAAAGGTCAACATATTAGTTTTCATTTGAACTCGGCTTGTGTTGGTAATAGCTGATTTTAGTAAGTAAACAGAAAATTGAACTATTGATTCAGCAGAACAAACACAATCCTGACAATTCCATTAGACCACATTCAATAATGCTGTCTTAGAAGCAAAACAAAAAGCATAGTAGCAAAGGGTATAACTATAATCAAGGGAATTTTTACATTGTTTGTTCATTTAAAATGAATTGTTAACAGTACATGTTGTATCAGATGCTCTAGTTAAGCAGAAGGATAAGAGCCTTCTGTAGCTACACAACATATAATAGTTATGTGTACAGTACCATAGATGGTCTCATGAGTATATTATATAATGGGTATTTTTCATAAAAAAATAGCTGGAGATTCTCTGCTATCTTAACAATCTATTTGTATAGCATCTTACTTCTCTTACAGTCTTATATGTGCAATAGCATTAGTATCTAAAAACAAAGTTGGTGCATAGTCTTTAGCTTGAGATGCATATGTAAATCAGTAGAATTCCAATGTTGACAAAAAGATGTGCCTGAACCCATAACTACACTGACATAGGCCAGTCACCAAGATCCAAAAATTATATGTATGCTGAGGTATGCATATACAAAAATTCTTAATTTTATAGCTGTTCCATAAGTTATTACAATACATCCAGATATTGATGCAGGTTGGGATAGTCAACTATCACTGTGCTGTTGATGGAAATATGGGCAAAAGAACAGCTCTGTCTCTGTGCTGCTTTCTGTACATACATAGATGCTCTACAGTTTCACTGTAACAAAATACAGACGCAATACAATTGTACAATGTCTAACAGTTCTAGCTCTCTGGGAAGTCCTGGAAAGCCGTTACAAAAGAAGTTACTTTCATATGTCTCCATCAGAAGGTGGTTGACAGAGCCGGTATAACCTAAGATGAAACAACAAGGATTAGTAATGATGTGCACTTTCAAATCTACAATCTACTTTATTCTCTGATGGAGAACAACAACAGCAACACATTCGTTCATTTCAGAGATAAGCACAGTCCAAGGAGAGCAAGTCTTTAGGTTTTCAAGCCTACAGAATAACTGGTTATGCTCCTTAGATTACAAACACTAGACACTGAATAGGACAGATGTGAGATTGCTCCGAGGTGATAGAATTTGCACTCTTAATTAGTTGTTTAATCAAATCAGGTCATACCTCAGGCTTATAAATGCTGAAATCAAAGCCAAATACTGATATGTATATCGAATCAAAGAATGGTATCTGCTTGTTCTGTGACCAATCAGTATATCATATCTGTGCTGGCCCTCTGAAGGAGCAATGCACTTAATTCCATTTCTCTGCTTGTTATGCTATAATCCTGCATTTTTTCCCTATCCAGTTAATAATCCAATTGCCTTTTGAACAAATCAACTGACCCTGCTTCCACCACAATCTTGGGCAATGCATTCCAAGTCCCAAGCACTTGCTGCGTGAAAATGTTTTTCTTCAGATTGCATTGCTTCTTTGGCCAATTACCACAAATCTGTGCCTTCTGGTTCTCAATCTTTCTACCAATGGGAACAGTATCTCTATCAAGTCTTCTGTTAGCTTCCTCTTTTCTAAAGAGAACAATCCTAATTTCCCCAATCTTTTCACCTAACTGCAGTTCCTAATCCCTGATAATATTCACATGACATTTTTCAGCAGTGTGTCTTCACACACTTTCAAGTGTGGTGCTCAGATTTGGATGCAGCAATCCAGTTGATTTCAAATTAGCAGTTTACCACAACTTCCTTGCTTTTGTATTCTGTGATCCCGTTGATAAAACTCAGGATTAACCACCCATTCAATCGGTTCTAATATCTTCTATGTCCAAAAACATGTAGGTACTTTTGCTCCAGCATCCCACGCAGAACTGAACCCTACAATTTATATTGCTTCTCTATACTTTTCCTACTAAAATTAAACACATCACAATGTTTTGCATTAAATTTCATTTGCCTCTTTACTGCTCAATCCCACATATACCCTTTTGAAATAAAAAATGTGTGGAAAAATCTCAGCAGGTCTGTCAGCATCTGTGAAGACAGAAACAAAGTTATTGTTTCAAATCCGTATTCTGCTTCTTTCTCCACAGATGCTGCTAGACCTGCTTCATTCTTACAGAAGTCTCTTTCTTAATTTATATATCAGAATTTTGTTTTTATGTTTTTTTGAAATTGTATGCTATCCTCCTAAATCACAATACTTTCAAGTTTCATATCTGCAAAATTTAAAATTGTGCCCTATACACTAAGGATCTAGCCAACAAATATCAAAAAGTCTAGGCATTCGAACATTAATCTCGAAAAAACTACCATAAACTATCCTCCACGTCAAAAAACAACTATTCACCGTGACCCTATTTCCTGTGACTCAGCCAAATTCATTTCCATATTGCTACTGTCACTTTTATTACACAAGGTCTAATTTTGCTCACAAATCTGTTGTGGTAGTCTAACATTATCTTCTGGAATTCCATCATATCAAAAGCATTTACCCCAATTAACCTTGCCCTTACCGCATCAAAAAACTTAAGCAAGTTAATTAAACATAATTCACTCTTAACAAATCCAGGACGACTTTCCATAATTGACCAGATTTGCCCAAGTGATGATTAATTTTATCCTAAACTGTCATTGCCTAAATCTTCCCTACCTCTAAGGCTAAACTGATCAGCATGGAGTTGTTGGGTTTATCTTTACGCCCTTTTTGAACAAAGGTGCAATATTTGCAATTCTCCAGTTCTTAAGACCATCAGAAATAGGAGCAGAATTAAGCCATTCGATCATAGCTGAAATGTTTCTCAACCCATTCTCCTGCCTTCTCCCTGAAACACTTGATCCCCGGACTAATCAAGAATCTATCTGTATATCTATCTCTGTCTTAAATACGATCTCAATGGCTTGGCCTCCACAGTCTTCTGCGGCAATAAGTCCCACAGATTCACCACTCTTTGGCTGAAGAAATTCCTCCTATCACAGCTATAAAGGGTCATCCCTTCGCTCGGAGGCTATGCTCTCAGGTAATACTCTTCCTGACTAGTGGAAACATTTTCTCCAGGTCTACTCTATTCAGGCCTTTCAATATACAGTAAATTTCAATCAGATTCCTCCTCACCTTTCTAAACTCTATTGAGTACAGACCCAGAGTCTCAACAGCTCCTCAATTGACAAGCACTTCATCCCTGAGATCATTCTTGTAAACTTCCTCTAGAGCCCTTCCAATGCCAGCACATACTCTGTTAGATACAGGGCCCAGAACTGCTCACAATATCCAAATGTGGTCTGACCAGAGCCTTATACAGCCTCAGGAGAACATCTCTGCTCTTGAACTCTAGCCCTCTTGAAATGAATGCTAACATTGCATTTGGCTTCATAACTGCCAATTGAACTTGCTTGTTAACCTTAAAAGAATTGTGATCTAGGACTCCCAAGTCCCTTTGTGCTTCAGATTTCCAATCCTTTACCCATTTAGAGAATCATCTATGCCTCTATTCTGAACACAGAGCTAGACCCCATATACACTCCATTGTGAAGGAAAACCGGAAGTGAGGTAATCCAGCTCAACAGACACCAGAGTTTAAATAACAGGCGGGAAAACACAACAGCGCTTCATCAGAGGCTGCACTGATGATGTTACCCAGCATGGTAATGTAACGTCTGCGGAACAATGAACCAGCTCGGTGAGCCAACCAACTACAACAACCACAACCTGAGCTACAAATCTACTCTAAAACCTTAGATGCCTCTATATTTCCTACTAAAGTGTATAACTCACACTTTCCCACACTGTATTCCATCTGCCATTTCTTTGCTAACTTTCCTGGTCACTGTCTCCTAAAGGTCCCCCATACTAACACGTGATCCACTTGGTCCCTCTCATTCCCAAGTAGGTCCAGCAGATGAAATAGATGAAGAAGTCCAATCCAATTACACCATGAAGGAGGACCACTGGAGGAGAGTGGTGTGGTCAACCAAGTATAAGACTGCCAATAGCTGGAGGAAGAGGGGGATACTTTGTTACAGTCATCATCACACAGGATGTAATTTGTGTGCGTAACAAGGGTTGTCTATTTCAATGCTGCGGCCATGCTGAAAACCTGATTAGGTGTGATTGGGGTGTGTGTGTGATTGGGTGTGTGTGTAGTAGGAGGTGTTTAGGTGTGATTTGGTCTGCGTGACTGTGTGTATGTGAATGTTTGTGCGTGTGAATATGTATGTGTATGTGAATATTTGTGCGTGTGAATATGTATGTGTATGTGAATGTTTGTGCGTGTGAATATGTATGTGTCTGTGTGAGTGGGAGAGAGAGAGTGTGCGAGTGCGCGTGTGTGTATGTGAAACTACAAGTGCAGCAGAAATAAAAGGCCTTACATTGAGAGACAATGACACGTTCAAGCACTAGAGAGAGAAAAAAAAGCACTTAAAAATACTGTGAGGTAGCTGAAATATTTTACATTCCTAACATTGGCCCTGGCTTGGATTCTGAAAGTCGTACTTTTATTGTTACTGGCTGAACGAGAAAGAACCACTTGCGTAACTTCTCAGATCTGACATAAAATATTACAAGTAAACACATTTATAACTTGCCTTGGCACAGATGGTGGCATCTGATCCATTACTTTCAAATTTTTGGCTGAATTCTCAACCCTCGCACCCTGTAGAAAGAAAAGAATCTATTGATTTCAAATAAGGGCAACTGAGCTGCACACTCATCACAACAGTTTTAAACGATTCAACACATGCCTTGAGATCCATTTAATTTGTCTTTGAGGATCTTACCTGTTTTCTCATAATGTCTGTGGCCTGCATGATACATCTAGGTAACAGTCCATGGCTACGAGCCAAAATAACTGCTTGTTCCAGGGTTACACTTAAAGTACTCCTGAATAAAATGAAAATGATAGGTCAATTAACATACCCTATGGATTTACCATGACAAAGACAACATCTTCGAATAAAAACCGAAAGAACTGCGGATGGGCACTGGACCCGAAACGTTAATTCTGTTTTTTCCTTCACAGATGCTGCCAGATCTGCTGAGCTTTTCCAGCAACTTTGTTTTTGTTACACAAGATCTTCAGCATGATCTGCTCAGATGAGGAGGAAACAAATGAGCTGATTGATACTACAAATCCCAATAGAAGATGAAATCTTTTACAAGAGCCATGTTTCTCCGAAGCAAATTCATTAACATACAAAATAAATTTACCAAAATTATAAATGTTGATTCCAAGGATATGAAAACTAAAATTATTTCCTGTTCTCCTTACATGTTGAAAAATGTGATTTGTTAATTTTACATCTGGAAACTTTGATTTTACTTCATGGGCTAATATGGAATAAAGTCATTTATTATCCTTTATTCAATGTGCTAAAATTTGTTGGCCTATGTAGGAAAGTCAGTATTTCTGAAAAAGGACATTTTTGTCGAAGCTGTTCACCTTGTACTGATCAAGTCATTTCGCAGAAATGCCGAATCAAGGTGAAAAAAGATGGTTATACTGTGCGAGAGGACAGTGTTGATTGCTACAGACATTGCCATACAGAATGCATGATTGACAATTAACAGCTCTGCTTTGTTTAAATTTTAAGTCAGACAGGGTGACTGATTGATGAAGACACTACCCTGAGAAATCAACCAGTGAATGGCTATCACCTATTTTGTTGAGTTGAAACAAACGCATTGGTGTACATGTTCTTTCTGTTTGCAGAAAATAACAGGGCCTTTTAAGTTAGCATATGCAATTTCCGGTACATGCACTGTCCTCTCATCCAGTATAAATGTTGGTTTTCCCATTGAATTGGTATTCTTGCAAAATGTCCTGATCAGCGCAAGACAAAAAGCTTTGACAAATTGTGTCTTTTTTCACAACACTCATGTTCTGTACTATGATAGCCAGCTTAGGAGTTGGCAATTATTGACAGTACAAAAAGGCTGAAGACAGTTTAAGTAACAATTGCCGAATGTTGGGTTGCTCTGGTGCATGATATAAATCAAATTTAATTATGTGGGTGGGCCAGTGTGAGATTAAAGCACTTGGGAATTGTCACTTTAAAAATAAGAAAAATACAATAGAATAGTACACTAGCGATGTTTGCTTTAGCATGAAAAAACAGTTTAATGTTCACACAAGATCCATGGTCTCTTACACAAAACTGAACATCATCAAAAATTATGCACAAAGAGAACATTAATCTTTAAAAATCAACTAAATTTTGAGACTGTACACCAGTAATGATGAAAGAAAATACAGCAAGATGTTAGAACACAGAATTAAACAGATTTTATCTTGCAAGTAAAACTTGAATGAGTGGCTCATGTTCGGAGAATATTCAATTAATAACGCCAATAGATAATTTAAATGTAAGAGTTTTGCTTTTAGATGATATTCCATGCTGTACCAATGACAGAAGTTATCTGCTGGCTTCAGGGTACTTCTGTATATTTCTAGATAATAGAAAGATAATGAATTGCCCTTTGATGAATCAAAAAACAGGTAATGGAAGATTCCACTTGTAATAAATCTATTCTAAACAACAAAGTTACAGTTATACAGAAACTTTCATGTAAACTGAATGTCTTAAACATTTTTCCCATTATTTTTGAAAATATAGTCACCCAAGTAGGCAAATGGAGTAGCTCACAATTTTTCATAAACAGCATTGGAATAACTGACCAGATAGTCCTTTCGAAAAAAAAGTTTTCGTTGAGGGATGTGTGTTAGTCAGGACACAGAACTACTTTGTTGCTCTTTTAACACCACTTTAAAAAGATATATAGGGCCTCAGGCTAACAGCCAAACTGGCACTTTAGAAAGTAGAGCACTCTCATTAAAGTTTTACAACAATCCCCTTCCTACCACGAACTTACATCCAAATCCAATACTCCATTCACAGTCTCCAATGGAACCAATAGCTGCTGCTTGATTTGCACTACCTTGTCAATGATAAAGGGCACCACTTCATTTTATTCCCATCACTTCATATTCACTTCATCAATGGCCATTTAAGATTGTCAAGATTTGCAGCACTTAAAGTGCTGCAAAACAAGGGACTCATCTTTACAGTGCTTGGATTCTGCAATAAAACCCTGTTGTAATTTACAGAGTCTGCAGATCAATTACAAGTGAGGCCATTTGTATTCCTGGCTAGATTTCACAGCACAGGCAGCAAGATACCAGCAGTACGTTAAAAGCTGCAAGTGTACTTCAGCTTACTGCCTTCTGACCTTAAACTGTGCTGCACATCACTGGCTAATATTATAAAACTGATTACAAAATTAGGATTAACATTAAAAGCAGAGTGAGTGAATCACAGATTTATGCAAAACTTTAATGACAGCACTTTATTTTCTGAACAAACGAACATACTATAAACATTCAACATTACCCAGCTACATCATATTCTGATACTTGTACGTTAAAATTTCCATCGTGTTTCAAGTGTCATCAGCAAAGCCATTGTACTGTTTTAACAGAAAGGACAGATAAATGACAGCATTAATTTACCTTTGTATACCAGTGCTACACATAACAATCTGACAAGCTCCAAGCCTGTTGCAAAGCTCAGAAGATATTGGCAAGGCTGCAACCCCAGAAGCATTGCTGCTTGAGTTCACAGTGGAAGTTGAATGCTTTGGGCCTATGTACAACTCCATCAATCGCCGAAGTTCCTCCAATGCATTGAGAGGACGTAACAGCTGTGACATTTGAAAAGAAATATGTTAGGCATGTGTTAGGTTTATGTCAAGCTTTTGGATACAAACAATGTCATTGTACTTTATGAAGTAGCTAAATCCTCTTCTCAATTTTTTACTTGGCTGGTATCTTGCCTATTGCAATATTGCAATCGATACAGACTTAGATACCACTCAGCATACATATTCATTTTGCTTTAACAAAAACAAATGAACAACTACACTGAACTTAAGAACGGCATTCAGTCCAATGTGTGTGTGCTGGTGTTAATGTTCCATACATTCTCCTTGTACACTTTTGGCAAATTCTTTTATTCTGTTCGTCCTCACATAAACGTAGAAAATAGGAGCATGAGTAAGTTATTCATTCCTTTGAGGCTACTCTACTATTCAATACGAGCATGGCTGGTCACTCAACTCAGTACCCTGTTTCCCCTTTCCCCCTGTAATCTTTGATCCCTTTAGCATCAAGAATTATCGCTAACTTTTTCTTGAAAGCATTCAATGCCTTGGCCTCAAGCATGTACTTAATCGAAAAGATATTTTAAGCAACATTAACTTTTCATGGTACTGCTTAAAATGTAAAATATAAGTCAAACATAGCTGCAAGGTGACCATGCAAAGTTGAGAAAAGAACTCATGACATACATAACTGCAAAATCTGGCATAGCTGATTAAGACACAGCAAGATGTACAGTTGTAAATCCTGGTCTCTGCTTACATTGGTGAGAGTGACTTTTAATTGCTTGACAGTGCTAAATAATTTGTTTTTCCATCATATACAGATTATTCAAAATTAAGGGAAGTGTTCAGTTAAGAACATGACACAGGTTTCTTTAGATTTTAGAAGACACCTTACCTGGTTTATCTTTACAGCAGTCGTAGAAGAATCAGAAGGTAAATTAGACCGTTCTAGATAGAAAGCCCTTTGGAAAGATTTTTAAAGAAATAAAATTTAGTTCAAATTATAAGTTAGATATGTAATAGAGGCCCATTTCCGAATTTACTATGAGATCTTGGCTAGACTTGGCTGAATCTGCATTTTAATTGATAGCTTCAAGGGATGATCAACCAAAAAAATCCAAGTTCTTTTCATTCTGCAAATAATTGGTTTACCTGAGTTTTCGATAATAACATTTAACTTTTTCAAGAGAAGCCGAATTGATCTGTTGTTGAAATTCTTCTGCAGACGCATTTTCTGAAGAACATCGGTTCTCAAGAGCTAGAGAAGAAAAATGTAGTTCTATTACCTTTATATAGAATCTTGCTGTGGTTGCCTGAAATACAGTCACCACAAAAAAAACCACTTAAGAGCTTTTTTTCTTCAATTCCTTAAATGTCTCAATAAATCCAAACTGTTAACAAGTATGAATTTGTTTTTTACAGTAAGCAATGTTTTACACAATCTGGAAAAGGCCAACTGGTTTGAAGCATTTCCTGTATTCATTGCAGTTTAAGTTGTTGGTTCATGAAGAAGCACAGTACAGACGTTGCAACAGGTTACAAGTGCAATTGATGATCAGAGAAAATACAAACGAATAGCAAATTTCCAATGCCATTAAGCATTTCATACGTACAGGTAAGGTTTGAGCAACAAGTAAAATGTGTCCATTACAAAAGTTTTTGACATATTCAACTGGTAGAAACAGAAAAATCACAACGTTTAATTTAAAGTAATTTTACCTTGAGTGAAAAGCACTGTGTGTAATTTTAAACTTCCCCCATTCTGAAACTTAGAAGGCAACTCCATAAAGTTATGATTTTCAAGATAAAAGATAACTTTCAATGCTTGCCGGCTTCCATCTATATGGTAAGTGATAGGGTTGTCTGCAAAAATAAAATCAAAATCAGCATTTAGGAAGTGTTTTGACAGCAATGTAAGATTGCATATTTTTTTTAGATTTTTCTGTGTTAACCAGCGAAGCAGGGCTAAGTGACTGTTAAACCTAAGCCCATCACAAAAACTGTGGCTCATTTGGACTAGGATTAAAACAAGGTAAATATTCCTCCGAGTATTGTGGGGTAAACATACTGGTGGATTCAAGGTAGCAAGGAAAATAATCTCAGGCGCTGTTTCTAATGTTAGGAGACAATGTTTATAAAGAAAAGAAACGCCAAGTCAAACAACTGGTCAGAAAAAATTGTGTAGCCACGTGAAAATCATAAATCTCATTAATATAAACCTTTAGATGATACTCTAAACTACAGAGTTCACAACTTCAATAGCAATTTGCTCCTCTTTCAGTGCAGCTTGTATTTTACCTTCAAAACCCAGAAATGGCTGAGTAACCAGTGTAAATCTAGGGTCAGCATAGATGAAATTTTAGAGCCATGGGATTTAACAGCTTAGAAACAGGCCATTTGGCAAACCACACCTTAATTGTATTTACCTTACCTACTGGTTAAACCACCTTATGCTAAATTACAGACTAAAAGACACCTTAAATGATTCCTTGAAGTACACTATTAAATCAACACATAATCTTGTTGTCCTGGAATTCTATAAATTGTAGTATGTTAATTATGTACATCAACATGAGAAAACCTTGAAGTACATTAAACACTCAACTGCAAAAGCCTGGAGGTGACTGAAGTTATAGTATTCAGCTATTTACAATAGTTTACACTAACAAGACATAACTATTTTTCATTAAAAAGGCTGTTGAACAGAGAATTTTTAAATTGATCCTATGCATAATAAAATATTAATAGAAAGCAGCAGAACAGATACAATTGCAAAGATAATAATGTGCTAGCATAATGAAAAGAACCACATTGATGGAGGATCATCTGAACCAGACACTGAGAAAAATGAACTGAGTCTTTGGAGTTGAAAGGCAATTTATTTAAATGAGGGTATGCAGGGGTCAGTCCATGGAAGGAGATTAGGGTGAATTCCTGATGTAATATATTAGCAAGTCTTTAAAACTTTGAGGGAAGGTGATCCCCAAAATAGTGTTTTCATCCCAGAATGGAATGGCCAGCAGACTAATGGAGGATGTTACATACTTAAATGTCACAGGATTGCAGCTTAAATCCTTTTGGAAAGAGACCATCCATTTAATTGCTAAAATTAGATGTTGTACATAAAGATCAATATATCCAGTATCACCATCACTTTTTCTATTTCTGGAAGCAATGAGGTCATATTTCAGAAGTATCTATTTTACAGTACAAATAGGTTTTGAAACTACATTACAAGCAACACAACCCCAGGCTGTATGATGAGACTTGCCAAAGTCAGGCTAAGCTTGTTGTTGAAACATGTCACAGCCAGAAGCCATGCAGCAGGGTAAATTTAAATCTGCTTATTTAAATCGCTGAAACTGCAGGCATTAAAGCCCTTGTGACTAAAGTAGAATAACACAGTATATGAAAGCACAACTTCTCTGGTACAAATTAAGCAGCTTGAATCATTTATGCAAACATTTAGGATGAAATGCATTTTTAAAAATGCTGTAATAAGTGGATAATCGCAGATCCATACACATGGCTCATAAAAAGTAATTTTCCAAGTGTAAAGACTCAATCCCTCAGAAAAAATAAAAATGCTAATTTTTCTGTTTTTCTCTCAACTCTCTTCCTTAATCTCATTTTAATGTACCAATCTCTATTTTCCTTCTTGTAAAATGTTTTAAATAAATCGTGGTCTGCAGTTTGTGTCCAGTGAGAATATTTTACAATTTGATTGGTTGAAGAGCCTCACTGCTGCTTTACTCAAGTGCAGTAGAGGGCACTACATTAAAACAAATGTTGACTTGGTAGAAATCTTCATTGACAAGATACGAAAAGTCCATGGGTAACTGAACAATGAAAATTCTTCCCTCATCACTGAAAGGAAGAAATGAGCTACAGTTGGTGCATATATTGTTTGAGTTTATATTTAATTCCTAAGGCACACCTGTCTTTTTGTGAGGTATATAATTAACAGTTTTCTGAAAAAAAAATGGGAACAATCCAATACATTTATGTGCAATTCGGGCAACAGCCCTTTGCAAGAAATAGATGCCCCATGATTTGTAAACCCTCTTTTTACTAGACCACTTTTGTCTCTGGCATTGGCTTTGTGGAAATATATTGGAGATCCGGTTAAATATTGTGCAGTTCCAAAAACCCCTTGTATATGTTCTTTACCTTTGAGTGATGTGGAGGTGCCGGTATTGGACTGGGGTGGACAAGGTCAGAAATCACACGACACCAGGTTATAGTCCAACAGGTTTATTTGAAAACACAGCCTTTTGAACTTTACCTCATTCTTCAGGGGTTAGTGAGAGAGGTGGAATCAGACACAGAATTTATAAGTAAAAGATCAAAGGGTCACCTCATCAGTGGTTTTCAAATAAACCTGTTGGACCAAAACCTGGTGTTATGTGATTTCTGACCTTACCGTTGAGTGCACACACAACTATTTTGATAGGTATTTGTAGAAGCATCTGCCTTACTACATGATGCTTAATTTTGTGTATCTACTCTGGATTCCCTGGTCGTAAGTTATTTTGTGTAAAATTTTATCACTTTTTTGCATTGTTAAAACTGTTTCGATCATTTTCCCTTTCTCACGAGAGAACCATCTCAGCCTGCTCATATAACCGCACCAACTCCTCATAACCAACTGGCTCCATCACAGCCTCCAATCTGCTTTATTTGAAAAGGCATCTACAACCTATCCCTTTCCCTAACCCAGGTCCAGTGTGTTCTTTTTTCTGAAGTCGTCTCCCAACCCCATCCTCCACATAGCAGTTTCTATCTGGAAGTTTCTCATATCAGGATGGTGTTTTCCCAAGTGAGGTACATTGCGGTTTAAATGCAGTGCACAGTTGTTGCCCCTGCACCAATAATGTGTCTCAGCTCCAACCTCAGAATAATGATCACAATTGCACCACTGATATATCTTTATTCAGTTAGCCCGTGGGCTCTGAATACAATTGCCAATTTAGCAACCTCACTTAATTACACAGGGAGAGAGATAAGGTCTACCCAAACTTTCATCACAATTAATTCCCAGCATGAGATGTTCTTCCCGAAAGGCTCTGTTTTATTGGAATGCATGTTACAGTCATGAAAAATAAGATACCTTATCTGATGCTTGACACTAACTCCTAAACTCTTGATTCTTTCACAAGGTATATGGTTGACAAAAAAAAGGCAGATAGTTTTTCTTTAAGTAGTACAACACTCCTGAAACAAAACCTCTTTCCAGTCAGACCACAAATTTATTTTGATTCATAGTTATTACTCTAGTGTTTCCCTTTCCATGAACACAATTTCAGTATTGACCATAAATACTGGTTAATATTCAAACCAACAGAGTATTTGAAATCCTTACTTGCTACTGGGTATTCATGTTCCAGCTGTCTAAAATAGAATGTTACATTATCCAGATCAGACAAGGAGACCTTGGTGTCCTCCAGCATGATGCGCTCGTCTTTCTGTGCAGGAGTAAAGTGATAATTATTAATTCCAGCACACAGAAATAAACAGCATGAAATATCCAGCCTCCAGAAACAGAAGATAATGCAGCTGGCCTTGCATCCATCAGGCAATTGCTTAAAGTAAATTCCTCTCATTATCTTACCTGACATAATTCTGACAAAATAAAACATACATCCATCACACTATTGTAAAAAAGGATCTTCAGATCGTGCAAAAAATGATGTGTGAAGGAAATGAATCTTGTGCTCTATGTATTGTATGACTTCTGGGATTCCATCTCACTTGTCACTCAGTAGTACTTTGTCATTAGATTTGAAAGCAATTCATTTCTGCCTCTATCAAGGCACATTGTTGAAACAATGAATCTTTGCATCTCTTTTCAAATGAACACAATTAGCAAAGAGTTCAAGATCCCACAAAATCAGGAGAAGAGTTGCAAAGAGGTGCAGTGCAGGCATTTAGTTCACACACAAAAAGAGTAAAACCTAAATAGACTTTCTAGAGGAAGTCAGTTACCGCGTGAATGCTCCAGGATAGTGGCCAAAAAAAGTTTCTTTGCACAAAATATCTGTTTAATGCAATTTTATAGAAACAGCAAAATAATGCAAAAAATTTCAACACATTATTTCCATGAAAGTGGTGAACACAGACGTTGAGAATCTGGATGTCAAATAACACAAAGTGGAATGATTATTTTCTATTTGAAACATGCCAACTCAACTGCATTCCCCAATCACAAGCAACAAATTCCATCAAGTTTTAATAATTTACTTGTAATTTCAAATTTGTCCAGATTCTTGCACTTCTGAAAAATTAGGCAATTCCCTAAACCTAATAGAGAATTTCTGTACATATGGTTTAGTAGACACCAAATTAAAATTTGCAAATTTATGCAGGTTCACTTACCACACTTGGAGAAAGCAGAGACTGAAAATTGAGAAGGACCCCAGTAACAGCTATCTGTTCAAGCCACTTCTTGCTGGCTTCCTTGCTCTCCTCTTCATATTCTCCATTGTTATTATACCGGTGGTTCAGGGCAGCCAACAACTGCTCTGAAAAGCTACAGATAGCTGCTACAAGGCTTTGACAAAAGAGGACATCGCGGCGTAATTGTAACTCAAGGTCTGCAGAGAGGAGAAAATTACCAAGAAGTCAGAGAAAGGAACCAAACCAAGTGCAGTAGTGAACAACTAATGTTTTCGGATTTTTTTTCTTTGGAGTACAAACAGCTATTATGGCTCAGGGCACAATTTTGCCCCATCTGAGGCCTTGCAATGATGCTTGTGAAAAGACAGAGTCAGAGGGAGAAATATTGAAAGAGAATTAAGAGAAAACAAACATATCTGACATTTACAAACTTTTTGTCAAAAGCACCTCTGCCCCTGCGCATAAATCAAAGTCCTCTCAAATGGGACAACACACCATAGTAACAAGCCATGACAGAGGTTCCAATGCCACCAGGAATCCAAAGTAAATTATATAATCAAATCCAAAAGGCTCCAGAAGTTGCTACTACTGCTGCAGATATCATAAGAAAAAGCATCAAACCTGAATCAAATGAATGAACAGCTGAGGGAAATCCATTCATAACACAGCTTGGAATGTTTATATATTAAACCATTTATACCACAGAAATGTTTGAAAAGTAGAGGTAAAGTTCTTTACCTTCTGCTTAACTAGAGAAGTATAATCTGACCTCAAAGATTCTGAGGTCCATTAGCTCCATTCTTTACAAATCAAACTTTGCCTTGCTCAAACAAATAAATAGAAGCAAAGTAGACTCTGGATTATACAAATAACTTAAAGTAAAGCATCTGTGACAGAAAAATAAATCCAGTCATGAAAGGCCAAATGATTCAAGGATCAGCGTAGCACTGAAGCAACCTTACTGTGAGAAATAAATGAAATAAAAGTGGGCCAGATTTGGTGGTCAGTGGTAAAGTAAGGGTGCTTGCTGACTTCAAAAAAAGTTGGCACTGAATGATCTTACATCCTGTTTGCCAAAAGTTTGAACTCTCTTGCTGTGAAATGGATTATTTGATGGTTTAATGAAAATTCTTAATATGGAGGTGCAGTGATAGCTTCAAGAATTCAAAACACCTAGTCATATTAAAAGGATGTCAGACAGCCAACCAAGAAATTAAATGAAAATTTTGAATAATTAAATCACTTCTTAAAGATCTTACTAAAATCAGAATAAAGACTGGAACATACAAATAGGATTATGGTAGGAGATGTAGAATCATAGAATCCTTACAGTGTGGAAGCAGGCCGTTGAGCCCATCGAGTCCACACCAATCCTCCAAACAGCATCCCACCCAGACCCAGCCCTTATCCTATTCCTGTATTCCCCACCCTAGACACGATGGGCAATTTAGCATGGCCAATCCACCTCACCTTCACATCTTTGGACTGTGGAAGAAAACCAGAGCACCCGGAGGAAACCCATGCAGACACGGGGAGAATGTGCAAACTCCACACAGACAGTTGCCCAAGGCAAGAATTGAATCCGGGTCCCTGGCTCTGTGAGGCAGCAGTGCTAACCACTGAGCCACTGTGCTTAAAAATAGACTGAATTATTTTGAAAAGATAGTCATGAATCACAATGAAGATAGTTAACATTTTTAAAAATAATTGACAATTGTTTAACATTAGATCATAGAATTCCCATCACTGTTGAGCCTTGTCCAGTGAAGTGAAACAGAAGTGACTAACTGTGAGCGTGAGCAGGAAAGACTTGTTAAATCAATTGATGTTATAGATTTCTGCTTTAATTGGGAGGGTGGAGATAAGTGTGGGATGGTTGGGTTGTTCCGGAGGGAACTCTGAGGCAGAAAAGTGAATTTACAAAGCACAAGTTCAGGATTTTTAAGTCAGTCTCGCATTGTGCTAAAATACTGAATTGAGCTGAGATTCAAAGAGATTACAATGGAAAATGCTGACAGTCAACCATCATCAACATTTCCCTGTTAGATTTTTGACAAAATCATGGCTAGCGAGAGTAATAATTCCATCATATATACTGATCAATCATCTCATGACGTAAATGATTACACTGAATCTTATCAGCATTTACACAATAGAATACAATGTGAAACTCAACTGATCACTTCAGAAGTCCAACCTACCTTGACTGAAGTTAGAAATGCACTATCTAAATTTAAGATGAAATGTGTTTTGAAAAGTTGATAACAATATTTTAGTTTGTCATATAAATGTAAGTTAAAAAGAGAACATGCAAACGGCAATTCATTTAATATTCTGAGGTCCCAAATCCATTAAAATTACCTGCAGAAAATTTTACTTTCATGACATGTTTTCACACGACATATTGACTTGCTGTTCCAAGTGGGCAATGTAACATTACCACAGAATTGCAGCAAGTCACTTTTTAAGTGGGAAGTAATTCTCTTCAGAACGTTTGTTAAGGAATAGTGCTGTATAAATGAGTTAAAGGTTTTCATTTGCTATCAAGAGATAATAGCTGAAAATACATAGCAAGTTACTAAATTATAATATATGGACCACAACCAAATTAACTCACTATTCTTTTATATGGGTCTTCTGTCTTAACTTTGGCATTCAAGTTGCAAGGCTTTTATCATAAATATTTTACCAATAACTATGACTCTTTCATAGAACCCCACAGTGTGGTAACAGGCCATTCAGCCCAACAAGTCCACACTGGCCCTCCTAACAGCTTCCCACCCAGACCCATCCCCCTAAACTGCAGTTCCCATAGCTAATGCATCTAACCTACATATCCCTGAACCCTAAGGGTAATTTAGCATGGCCAATCCACCTAACTTGCACATCTTTGGACTGTGGGAGGAAACTGGAGCACCCGGAAGAAACCCATGCGTATACAGGGAGAACATGCACACTCCACACAAGCAGTTGACCACGGCTGGAATGGAACCTGGGTCCCTGGCACTGTGAGGCAGCGGTGCTAACCACTGAGCCACCACTTTGTTCTCAAGTTAATATATATCTCACAGCTGTAATATTTATTTCATCGGAATATGGTATATAGAGATATAATGTAATACATACTTCTCCTCTCTGCCCCTTCTGGCTTAATTGCAATGACTAAAATATGTCTTACCTGTGCAATGGAGTAGAGCTAAAAGCAATTGATTTTTTCCATCTGTGGAAGCAATTAAACAGATTACTAAAATGTCAGTATTTACACATCATGAAGAAAATAGGTTTTAAATGAATCTTTATTCTAAGGATTGGAATAGCATAAGACATTAAAATATTGCTCAATCTGGATTGATTCCTCAAGACCAAGTGCAGTGTTCAGGTCAAGCCAGCAAACAGGGCTCTGGAGCTAACTGGACCAAGATGGAGATCAGGGAATGAGAAGATTGAAACAGCAAGCAAGAGGGAAGAGCAGAGGAGGGGAAAAATGTTAGTGAAGACAAGTGAAACGAGGAGGAGGAAGAAGAAAAGTTACACAGGAGAAAGAAAGAAGGGAACAATAGAGGAACGTAGGTGAAAGGATATGAGGAGGTGAAATTGGTAGAATAGAGAGAAAGTGTTTAGTTAAGCTCTGGAAAATAAATACAGGGTTTACTTCAGGCGTAGAGGGCATACAAGAAATGGGACTTACAAGAAATGGAAATTGGCTCCTCAGGAGCCAAGTGATGATTTACAATCTGGCAGTGGAGGACTATTTCTGTCTTAGCACATTAAAAACTCATGTCAAACTCATATCATGAAAAAAGACTGACACAAACAGACATACTACATATAAGAGATGTATCAATGGCTTTGTAATTCTTACGGCCTTTGATTCAAGCAGAATGATATTTGAAAAGTCTCTGCAAAAGTCTAGAAAAATATCGAAGCTGCTGGAATCAGGAGTGTCACTTCATCTCATTTGATTGTATGAACTAGTAGAGATGTCTACAATATATTTGGTTCCATTGTAGCTCACTGGTGCACTTTTTTTTTCAATTTATTCTTTTATGAATGTTGATGTTGCTCTTAATCAGCAATGCAGCTGAGAAAATTGCTTTGAAAGGTAAGTCAATTACTTAACATTATGGAGCACAATTTACAAGTACACTGAAGTATTACAGCTATATTAAGGGCACCTTCTCTTAAATCAGTGCAGGTACAAAAATTTCAAGATAACCATCTTAAGACTTAAATGAATGTATCATCCAATGCAACGTCTCACAAACATGGGAAATTAAAAGTCTTAAAATATAGCTTGTGCTCCGAAATATTTATCATTACTTTTCTAACTATTACTTTTAAAATTCATTTATAAAATTCCGCAAAATTATAATACATCATTTTTAGCTCTAAGAAGCCCATAAGCATATTCATTATAAACAGAGCTCACCATCTAATGGAGATCTGAGTAATTAAAATCCATACAATTCCTAGTGTGTAAAACCTACCTCCAGTTAGAAACTGTAAATATCTAATGATACATTGCAAACCTGCAGAACATATTTTTACTTTAGATACCACCAGCATGTTTAGTGATAGAGTGTGAAGTACTGGTTCAAATGATTACTTTAAAAATCTCAAAACATATATTCTTAAATATGAATTACATTTAAAAAAATATTTTTGAAATGCACCTTTTTAATATTTAAATGAATAATTGCCATAGACATCTGTCTGTGAATGCCATTCAAAATATATTTGTTTTATTGGGGTTGACTGCAAGAGAAAGAAATAGATCTTTGGTTTCACTGAAGTAAAAGTGCCACTGGCTAGCAATGGCTACTGCTGTTGTAACTATAAATTTTCAATCAAGATCTGAAAACATATGAATCCTACTGATCTAGTAGAAATAATTATCATTTCTTTAAATAATAAATCCACAAATGTTAAGGCAGAGTTCTTACTATATCAAGTCTACACTGGATCTCAAGTATTTAGAGAGCAGAAAAATAGACAATGTATACATGTCTCTCTCTGCTGCTGAAATAGTTTCACTTTTAGTCAGTCTTCGAATATGTTCCCTTCCAGAAAAGCTCCAAGTTGGCAAAAACTCAATGAACCACATCTAGAATCATAATTAAATCCAAAGGCAGCCTGCAGACTGTATTCCATCTGTTGAACCATTTAAAGCATAAAGCATCACAGGGTACCAGGCAGTAATGATTTGAGTAGGCATGCATTTCCACTACAGTCTATTCCAACTTAGCTCTGACTGAAGCCAAACAGATCCTTCTGTACCAAACACAAAATCAACATATATTCTTAGATTATGGTCTAGCTATATTAAGAAATGGTGTAAAAAATTTGTTTACACATAACTGCTACCCATTTATTTTCAACAGCTGTACAACATGCTGAAAGGTGACTCATGGAAGAAATAGTCTCAGTAATTCAGAGCATATATGCAACTAACCTTCTACATATTCCTGTACGTTGTCCACTAAGGCATTGATCGAACAAGGCAAATTCCAGGGGTCCTCCTGCACGTTTGTTTGGATTATACTTCGACATCTTATATTTTGGTCAACTTTCTGTCGAAATTCTAAAGAATGATTCCAGGAATTAGGTGATCAAAATCTTGTTACTGAAATCTGTAGCCATTTCAATAATAACTGTACATGGTGAAGAGCACATGATTTAACTGTGCATTGCCAAATCCCGTGTGATTGAAGATACAGATTTTATGTCATTATTTCCCATGTAAGACACTTCTACGAAAAGGATACAGTTAAATGCAAGAGCAGTTTAGATCCAAAGTAGCTATGGGCCAATAATAGTCAAAAGATACATTAGGGAAGGAGAAGCCATGATAGATGCTAAACCAAGTAAATAAAATCAAAGGTCATTCTTTTAGCAAGACGCTTGTCATGAGTTTGAAATCATATTTGCATAAGTAGTTCGCAATTAGAAAGAAAACTGAATATTTTCAGAATTAAAATCTTAACACCACAGAATACCAAAAAATAAAAACAAATGTAAAACTTCTACTTAAACACAGAGCTGTGTTTAACCAATGCAAGTGAATGAATATTAATTTCTGCAGTCATCAATCTCATTTAAAAGCACAGATGGCAAGAACCAGCTTTACTTAGTACTAAACACAAACTGTTTTGTCCTGTCAAGAAAAATCAGTACTGAACACAGCTAGATAATTTGATGCCGTCAGGGAGGACAATTCTGTAAAGGTATTATTCAAAACCTGAGCAGGATCGACTGCTTTGTGTCTGTAAAATTCCAGATTTAAGATTTCTTCCCATATTTTAGAATGCTTATTTGTTGTTGAGCAGAATTTCTGCCCCCAAATAGGGCCTTTCCATATTTTCACAACAGCATTAATCAAGTAATACAAGTAGACGCATAGCTGAAGTGCTTCCCGGGAGATTCCTGCTAATGGTTTGCAACTCACTAAGCACTGTACACTGAAGTACAAGTGATTGAGGGAGAATGGTCATTAATGTAACACCATTTAGAAATGTAGACAGAATTAGTACGAATCTTTTTTACCTTGTATGTTGTATTCTGTACTAATGCCATCTGTCTCTTCAAAGGCCTTGGCCATAACTGACCCCTTGAGGAGTGCATCAATGGAATCCACCTGTAATAATTCAATGAGCATCTCAAACTCTTTTCAATCTCCAATACTTGGTTTCTATGCTTTATTTCACAAGCTGTATACAGCAAATACTAAAACCGATCACTCATTGTGATGCTCATGGTAGGAGAGAGGTAAAGTTGTTGGATAAGGATACCAGGATGTTAAAGTGTACAACTGAGCAGCTGATAGAATTTAAAAGGAGTTTTTAAGAGAGACAGAAATGTACTTTTGTCTGAAATTCTTCTTAGTTGCAATAGACAATGGGTACATTTACTCCTTCCTCCTTTCACTTAACAGTAATTTCAATATGAATAAATAGCTCTTTCCTGTTGAAAAAGGGTATTGCTCATATGGTGAAAGCCAAAAATGACTGAAAGCTAAAGAAAATTTGCAACTGTATAACCTTCAAATGAATTTGCATCAATTTGAATTTATATCCCGCTAAATGTCTCAAAAAGTTGCATTACCAGAAATGGTCTACCTAAATATACTTACCAGACCATTTACCCCTCTAAACTTAAGTAATTCTGTAATGCTTCACTCTTTGCACTAATCACTGATCACTTCAACAATTAGTTCAATTGATGTTAAGTATTTACAATATATACATATCTCTGCCATTCCCACTGTAATGCTTGTCTACTTACCTGTATTAAGCATTAATTAACTCACTAAAAATGCCAACTGTTGATGCAACAAATTGCCTAGTTATTTTCACTACTGAAGGTGTGTGCGGTGACGATATTTTAATCCTTATTTATGTGTCTAATTGTGTGGGAAAAAATGGACAGATTCTTGTTTTTTTGACTCTGTGAATTAAATCAAGTTTTTTAGAGGGATTCGCACTGCAAGGTCTCATGAGATTTCTCGCTGTATCTTCTCAAATTTACCTCACTAACTACCTACCTCCAGCATCCTTCTCATCTGATTCTATCCCCATCTTACTACGCACCATTCCCAGAACAACTTACCGCTCAGTGGGTAGCTACTGAAAGACTGGCATCCATTGTACCCATGTCAGCTTTAAAGGACCATTGTGCACCCAGATAAGTCAGAGTTGTTCCTTACATCTCCTGATATTTTCCCTAGACATCGCAGATGTGGGGAAACTGGCACCCTGCATTGCAGGCAGGGACCTGGAGGTCCTGCTGGATGGGATGATGCAGACATGGGACGTCCTTCTCGACCCCAGGTCCAGCAGTGGAAGCCACAACATCAGACCTTGCCAGACTGGTCTGACGATCTCACCTAGATCAGTGCTGACTCAGCCATTGGCAAGGATGCACAGCTATGATGAAAGATGATCAACGACCTTCTCCATTCCAGCAGCCTAAGTGCACCACTTTTTCCCTTATTGCTCTCACTTTATCTATACTACTTCAGAAACCTTCCAATAAAACTCATGCTCTACAACTCTCTCTACTGACTGCCACATCTTCTCAGTCACTGCCATCCATCTCCAAACCTTTAAATACCATTCCTATTTGTCCTCTGCACAGCCTACTCACTTACTAGGGTTGTCACCACCCCACCTTCCACTTCCATAATACCTGACCATCTCTCATTCCAGGAGGAAAACAGTCCATAATGGGAAGAAAGACTCAAGATGTGTAGTGGGCTACCTTACATTCTGCTCCTCATCCGTTATGTGTCATTATCTAACCACCTGAGCCACTGACAGACCATGTCCAAGCTCCTGGATGAGTACTGAAGGCTGCAGTTGACTCAAATAGCCAGGACCTCCTGGCTAAAGTCATCTTCCTTGACTTGACTGAGAACTGTTGACAGTTTCCTGACTTTGTGTTTCTCTAAATGGCAAGACAAGACAGAATTTATATCAACCTGATAGCTCTGGCTGAGGGGGCAAAGTTCAGAAAGGCTAGGCAAGGACATTGTGAGCTCACATAGGCTCAGAGTGAGCGAGCGTTGCGAAAGCAAACAAAGAGCCAGGAGAAGCAGGCTGGTCCAGTTCATGAGCTGATTGTATATCCTTGCAGTGTCCGTGCTGCAGCATTACATTGATAGATGCCAGTGCAGCCTGAAGTAGTGTATTGGAGATGTGCCAGGAGGGTTGCTTGAGGTTGGCACATGCTGGATGACAATGTCAGTGGATGTGGGGTGTGTGTGTGGTTAGTACCCGGAGATGTGGTGCCCAGCGTTCAATATGGAAGCCCTTCAGAATATTATCTTCACTGAGCTCTTCGCAGGGACATACACAGAGATAAATGGGTGGAGGATCATAACTCAGTGAAAGACACTCTTTGTCACGAGAACACTGGCAAGTTTTAGGTGGACCAATGTTGACAGAGAAGTGCAGACTGAGAGACTCCAAAGTTTAGGATCAGATGCTGAGGGATTGACTAAAGCATGGGGCAACTGCCACAGAGGTACAATGGGGAAAGGTAGCTTGTTGAAGGCCTTTCAGCCATTGTGCACTGAGGGACTGGAATCTGTTGGAAACACACAACTGTATGCCTGACAAGAAACATACATTATGAACCTCAGCATTACTGAAATTATATTGAGGCACCTCAAAGTGGGACATGGTGTAAAGAGAAACATTTGTTTCTATAAAACTATGTGCATTTACAATGTGAAACATGTTGCCTTCAGGCTGTATGCCTGACTTGGAATATACTTTGCAAACGTTAAGACTATTACAATGGTACTGAGACATCACCTTCAGCAATTTTCAAGTCAAAACTGTTTTGCAATATCTTTCTAAAAATGTTATGAATAAATGTATTTATGGACAAAAAAGTGATTATAAAGCATACATACCTGATTAAAAAGGTGCTCGAGGCAGCCATGTAATTTGTCCTGTTTGTCAAGAGGAATTCTCATGTCACAAGGCAGTTCATCTCCTGTTTTAAAATTGAGAAAGCATATTTCAATGTATAAAGAAATAAAATAAAGGTTAATAAAAGAAGATTCAATATTTCACCTTATCAATCTTCAAATCATGTACCGGTGTTATATAGAGAGTTATTGTAGAAAGCATATCCAAATCACAGAACTTTCACAAAGTTGTTAGCAGTGAGGAGCATCATTCCACATTTTTGAGGGGATTAATGTCAATATTTGTTCCATATAGTATCCATAATTATCTGCGAGTTTCCAATTAGGATTATACAGGGAAGAAATAAACTTTGATGTTTTAATAGTGAAGAAGAAATTATACGCTCATATGAAAATTCATGCGTAATTACATTTCGAAAATGCAGCACAGAATCACAACAGTGTTATGACACAGGAGGAGACCATTCAGCTCATCATGCCTCATCAACTTGATAAATGAGCATCATTACCAAGTTCTAATCTCCTGTTTCCTCCACATACCCTCGCACATTATTTTTACCCAAATAATCATTCAATGTCCTATAAGCATCAAATACCTAACAATCATCAATCTAATCAGTACAGTTCTGCATTTCTATTGTCACAAGTTAAGGGTTTCAGTTCAAACAGAAACATATGCATCATCATCAGATGACAATAGACTTTAATTAATTGGTTTGTGCCAAATGATGACAAATGTAAAATGTTGAGACATGTTAGATTTCATCTTTAAAATACAAAATGTGAGATAAAAGCAACAAAAAATTAATGAGTAACATTTTGAGAAGAGAAATGTTGGTGCGGTCTTAAAAACGGTTGCATGCTTTAATAACATTTCATTTGCTGTAAAGTCTCACCTGATCCCATTTCATCACTGCCCAGGTAGGAGCTCCTGCTGCGATCACTTGTATAGGATAGAACAGAGTCTCGGTTGCTATTACATTCACTGCAAAACACCACCAAAAACAAGTAGTATTTTGAGCATCAAAATTCATCAATCCATTTCAAATGACACCCTTGCTATCAAATTAATTATCTGGAATTCAAATTGAGACCACATCCCTTTTCATTCTTTCATAGCATCTGGGCATCACTGGCAAGGCTAGCATTTATTAGCCATCCCTAATTGCTCAAGAATGGTCATTAATTAAGAGGCTGGGAATTCTTTTGTGAGCAATGTGCTTCCCAGCTCCCCATACTCTGGCCATCATCTACAAGACACACATCAGGATTGTGGTAAAATGTTTTCTATTTGACTGGATGAGTGTAGCCCCAACACTCAAACAGCTCAATATCATTCACGATAATGCCAGCCACTTTTAGCATTCACCTCTTTGTCCACCAGTGCATGGTGGCTACAGTATATGCTGTCGACAAGATGGATTGCAGTAATTCCCCAAGACTCCTTCAACAATCTTCCAAACCCATGGCCTGCACCACCTAGAATGATAAGGACAGCAGACATAGGTGCTGCTGTCCCTAAGCAAGTTTCCAAGCAAGCCACACACCATTGTGACTTCAAACTATATCACTATGCCTTCCCTGTTGCTGGGTTAAAATCCTGGAACTTCTTCCCTAATACGGCTCAAGGTGTAACTACCCTGCATGGACAGCAACTCACCATCACCTTCTCAAGAACAATCAGAATGGGCAATAAATGCTGCCATTGCCAGCAACGTTTACTTTCCATGAACGAATAAAACAAAACATATTTTTCTGAATTACGTTCAAAAAATTGGCTAAAAGTTTGGCAACTCAGCAAGTTTTTTCTTAAAATAGACTTTTATTCCGAAGCCAATAGTAGTTTACTAGCTTTTGTAGTATATAAAGTAAGTAATTTACAAGCATATAAGGCAACAATGTTTAAAACCTGGTGATTTACACAAAACCGATTTGACATCATGAAATTCACGTCACAATTTATCATTTTTTTTAGAAAGGGTACATTGAACATATATCACTATATTTAGCCCTTGGGAAGCAGATGATTTACATTAAAGCTATAAATAAACCTGTGGTAAAATGTCCCACAATATATACTAGGCGCTAAAGCTCAGCAACAAGAGAATCTTAAAAAGGAAAAAACATAGCTGCTGCTGCAAGGGAACTTAGCATTGGCTTTGCACAGGTCAAAGCAAGTCCAGTGCCTGTAGATATGTGCTTGAACTATACACGGTACTACAAACTTCTTAATATCCTGTACACCATGCAGCTAAGTTACCACTTCAGTTTTCAATGTGTAGGTAAATATTGCCTTTATAACCATATGAAACTGTGTAGTCATGGCTGGAAACAGCAACAATTTTATATTGTGCCAACATAACAGAAGACTACATCAATCCTATACCTAAATGAATGCTGAAATTTAGTAGTTGCAATTCCATTCTACTTACTTAATAATACTTTATGTAAAATACTTCAATTTGGCACCTGGCAGTTCATAATATCTTTTGGTAAGCTTAAGAAATATTATGACTGAAATTATTCACACCATTCCCCTATTTGCCTCCAGAGGGCAATATATTAAAAAAGCTGATTCAGAGATAGGGTCCAGACCCGAAACGTCAGCTTTCCTGCTCCTCTGATGCTGCTTGGCCTGCTGTGTTCATCCAGCTCTACACCTTGTTATATTAAAAAAGCTCCTGCTTTCTTATTCAAACATGAACAAATACACACTCAGTTATGCTGCTGTTACACTGGAGTTACACAGGACATAAAATAAAACTAACATTTCCGTATTACATTTCTTAAAATACCCCAGAGTGCACAAATGACTATAACAATCAGCCAAAGATGTGCAGGTTAGGTGGATTGGCTATGCCAAATTGCCTGTAGTGACCAAGGATGTGTAAGACAAGATGGATTAGCCATGGGAAATGCGAGGGTTTTGGGGATAGGGTAGGGACTGGATCTGGGTGGGATGCTCTTCAGAGGGTTGGTGCAGACTCATAGGGCTGAATGGCAACCTTTCGCACTACAGAAATTCTATGATTTTATGAATATCATTCTCTATCTATTCCTCTGGGTATGTAACCAAATTATTGTCATAATGATTGTATCAGAAAATAAAGTAGTTACGTGTAAAGTAAAATGAATTCAATCGTTGCTTTATTATAGTGAATGTTACTTAGACGAGGACTAATGGCGACATATTCAGACTTCTTCAAAACAAGATCATCTTTCTGATGTATAGTTTACTTGCAAATAAAAGAATTACTGGAAAACTTGAAAGTGCACATTGTAAAATAATTCACATATTTGGAAAGAAACAAAAGATAAGGCATAGAACAGAAAACACAAAGCTACCTTCAGTCATACCCTGCACGGCCTGAGGTATGGATACCAGAGCAATTTGGAGAACAAAGAGAAGCAGATAGAACATAGAACAGTACAGCACAGAACAGGCCCTTCGGCCCACGATGTTGTGCCAAACTTTTACCCTAAACCCAAGGTCTATCTAACTTCTACCCCTATCTTATACTATCATCTTGAAGCATCATTATTGGTAATTATGTGGCTTTCAACTAATAAGAGCTTTCACAGTATGCATGTAGAAACAAAAAGACTAAATTAAGTACTATTCACTTTGTATTCAAAACATCCTGGAAAAAAGTTAAAAATAAATCTCTCCTGCAGATTATCTGGATTCATGTAAAAATATCCATTTTCAAAGGGACTGCTCAGATTTTGACTACTATCTTGATAAACCTCAACATGATAACCCACTTTTGTTTAGACCCTTGGCCTCAACTGGATAGTAAAAACAAGCAAGACCACTTTCTTGAATGATGCTGCATATCTATTAACACCAGGAAAAAAACCATGAAATATTTGATATGCTTTATAAATAAAACATGCATGAAGTTTGAGGCCTTACAGAGCTTGAAACAATGGGCCACATTTGGCATAAATGTTAGGTGCAACATATAAACTACAGGACCGACGTGCATCCTTGAATGATGTTGACATTTGTGACATCAATGCTCTGTTATCTGGAAACTGGTTTCTTATGGCTGTGATCACACTTTCTGTCTAATCATCTTAAAAAAAGAAAATTTAATATTGTGCTGATGGAAGTAATTCAAATCCTACGCAATAGAGCCCAAATGCTCAACATACCTGAACAAATCTACAATTAAGTATTAAATGCTTCCTTCAATTGTTGGCTGTAGAAACAGTGTGGTCAAGAACAATAGCAAACATTGAATAGTACAAGATAGGAACAACCCCTTTGGTTGACCGTGACAGTGCTGACCATGATGCCGTTCTAAATTAATCTTATCTGTCTACATATAGCCCATATTCCTCTATTCCATGCCTGTCCATGTATCCGTCTAAATGCCTCTTGAAGCATTGCTATTGTTTCTACTTCTACCACCTCCCTAGGCAGTGTGTTCCAGGAACAAATTTCCCTCTGCATAAAAATCCTGCCTCGCACAACTCCTTTAAACTTTCCCCCTCTCATTTTAAACCTATGCCCTCTAGTATTTGACATTTACACTCTGGGAAAAAGACCCCGACTATCTACCCTATCCATGCCTCTCATAATTTTATATACGTCTTTCAGGTCGCCCCACAGCCTCTGACGCTCTAGTGAAAACAATCCAAGTTTGTCCAGTCTCTCTTTACAGCTAATACACTCCAATCCAAGCAACATCCTTGTAAACCTCTTTTGAACCTTCTCCAAAGCATCCACATCCATGAGATCACGTTAACAGTCTATAATAATCACTAATAAAATTGTGACAAGTGTTATAAGGTTCTCTGGATGGTTTAACCAGATAGGCTAAGTAGTGTCCTTCATCTGTCTTTTGTGACAACAGCATTTAGTAATGGTTTGGAAGTAGGTGCTTTCAGAGTTTTCCAGAAATCAAGTGCTGCCCCAGTTTCCTTTGAGTCCTAGACAACAAGGTGCAGGGCTGGATGAACACAGCAGGCCAAGCAGCATCATAGGAGCAAAGAGGCTGACGTTTCGGGCCTAGACCCTTCATCAGAAAAGGGGGAGGGGAAGGGGGTTCTGAAATAAATAGGGAGAGAGTGGGAGGCGGATAGAAGAGGGATAGAGGAGAGGATAGGTGGAGAGGAAACAAACAGGTCGAAGAGGCGGGGATGGAGCCAGTAAAGGTGAGTGTAGGTAGGGAGTTAAGAAGGGGATAGGTCAGTCCAGGGAGGACGGACAGGTCAAGGGGGCGGGATGAGGTTGGTCGGTAGGAGATGGAGGTGCGGCTTTGAGTCCTATTTGTTTTTCACATAACTCAAGTTAGTTTTACAATGAGCAAAGCCTATTACTTGGTTTGTTTTTACACCCATAATGTTATCACACACAACTGAGCAACCCCCCCACCCCAAAATCGCCATGACCTGTAATTTTGCTTTTTTTTTGTCCACCACTAGTAAATACATTCACGTAGCCATTCAATATTTACATGTAAAGTCCATTATGGGCAATGCAAACCAGGAAAAATGAAGGGGGTGGGGGTAGGGAGAGTGGGAAGGGACTAAATCAAAATGGAGATGGGGGGGAAATAAAGCACTGTCTTTCCCAGGGTGACCACCTCTCTAAAGGCATTTATGGACACCACGTGCTCCCTCTCCAGTGACACCAGGCACAAACGCAACCAAGGAAGGGGGAAGACAGTCAGCAGAGATGGCCCAGCCCATTACGTAGTAAACCTGAAATCAAACAGCAATCAGCTGTTGAGGGCTTATGTATTTTCAGATCTCCACAGTACTCAACAAATTTCTTATAAATCACATACTTCCGAATGAAGGACAAGTGCTAGGACTGTTTATTACTATTAGTTATGAAACTCAGAACTGATTGTGGAATACTTTGCATCCAGAAAACCTGGCATAAATTGCCCCAACAATGGAAAATGGTTTCTAGGGGACACCTGAATAAACAATTCTTTCAACCTTACTATTCTGCATAAATACCTGCAACAGCCAAACATTTCAAAAAGAAATAAAAAGCTTTTCATTTTTGGAACTGAACTCGTGAGAAAATTGTTCACAGACTGGTGGAAAAAAAAGTTTTCAAACAGCTGGTATTTCAAGCCTACATGAAGCATGAACAAGTTGTAAGAAATAAATCTGTTTCAAATCAGTCCACAATGGAGCAATTGATTAATTCAACGTGTAGTGTCTGCATTTTTGAAAGAACAAATTTAGAATGACTAGTTCATGCTTCACTCTTGCTTTAAATTCTTATTGACTTCATAAATAATACCGCTTATAATATTCCCAAGCTCATTTAACAGTTTTAACTTAAAAAATTAGAGATGGCAGATGAAATTACTCATTTCATTGTTGGCAATGTGATCAGGGGTTTCAAAACATGCAGGGCACATAATTTCACGATTTAATTGGCAACAGTTCAGTTATTTGCACCTACGGGTAACTGCCAAAGTATGAATGGGTAGGGTGGCAGAGTTGCAAGCAGTACAACATGAAATTTGGTTATCTATTGTCTCTTCTCTGATGCATAATTTTACAACACTCCCAAAAATAGGAAAAATAAGAAGCAAGCAAGTACACTGACTGCAGTAAATCCATGATTCAACAGTCCCAAACTATTAGAAATGTGTTCAATTCCAGTTGGGGACAATAGTGGGCAAGGGGGTACCAGTTGGTGGGAGAAGAGATTGGCAAAGTACCCAAGAGTAGAACATACGTTGGGAGAGTTACAACAAAGGTTTTTAACATTATAGAATAATTGTTAGAAATCAGAATTATAGAAATGAAGAATGACAATAGGTATTGCAGTTAATATATGCTTAATGTGAAACATTCATGCTACTGTAACACACCAGGCACAACTGAGCTGAATCAGGCTGGATGAAAGTATTGAATCAATCCTCTCTTATTTCAAATATATCATGGATCTGATTGTACAAGTTATTCCACATCCAAATTAATTTATCAATTTGAAGATATAGACAACCATTTAGACAGCAATTATTTTATGAATGAATAATTCATTAAAAAACATACTTTTGAAACGCCTTGTAAACTATAGCGGAAGTTGCTGTCCCAATGGTTGTTATGCATAAGTAGTTTATTGGTTTGACCAGTAATTTCCCACAAAATGAGTTTACAATTTCATCTGGATAAATAGAGTGCATAATTAGGAGGAGGCCCGAATATGAGACATAGAAAATTTCCCTACAGATTAATTGTTCTATAATCACTCAAGATTAAATCTTATCGAAAAGCTGATGAATAAAACCTGATCCATAGAATCCTACCAGAAATTCAGCCAGCCAGGGAATGGTCAATGGCACAATTTCAAGAAAGAATATTAAGTGGTGCAATGAGCAAGCAGGAGAAAGAAATGAGGCAAAGTGGCCAAGGTGAAGATAAAAATCTGGTATAAGCCTCATATCTGGGCTGTATTATTCTGTGCTTAAACCATGAACTTACAATATCTGTTTAAATCAATTAATCACTGAAAGACCCATCAGAAACTAATGCTTGGCTGCTAGTATATCATTAAGGAAACTGAGAGATTTGTACCTGTAGGAATCCCTATAACTTGTTGTGTCATGTCCAGAGTCATCCTGCTCTTCCTCATTCACCACAAAGCAGACTCTCTTTGTTCCACAGTGTTCAGCTTTGTCAATATCATTTTCTTCCATCAGAACGGATGGGTGAAGTGTGAGGTCTGATGAACTGTGCTCCGAAGTCTCAGACTGCGCAGGCTCAGTTATTGAGGACAGGAGGCTGCAGACAGACAGAAACAATATTACTGGCCAATCGAAAATAAATGCTTTGCATGTGGAAATAATCTTCCCTTTCTTGGTCAAACCAGCTGGAAATAATCAGCTTGCATTTCAAATGGATTGGGCACCACTTCTTGTAGTTTAATGACACGTGTCTCACAACTTACAGGCAAAAACTGTAGTTCAACATAAGAAAGATTGATTCATATGACTGTCAAACCTTAATTCAGTAAATGTACAAATATTCCATATTCATCAGTTGAACATTGGGGCTTCTTGATGGACCAAGTTCAGAAATCAGAATTTGGAACTTAATTGATGCTTATCCTTTCTGAGTTTAGTATCCTGTTAACTGTGTCACTGGAAATCCTATTGGGCTAGCCAAAAAGTAATTTTTAGAAACACAATACCCAAAGTAGCTCCACAGAAATGGTAGCAAAAGTACACAATACTGTAGAAGAAAATGATCAATTTCTTTCACTGTTCATTTCTGAAGATTAATATATGGTGAGTTTACCATCAAATTTCTGAATTGTTATTGAAAATTAGATTTGTAGTTAGCTGTCTGCTCAGGTCAGTTAAAGCAGTAAATAGCTGCATGAACCAATTGGACCAAATACTCAGAACTAATCCCTAATCTGTTGCATTATCTCACCCAGCAGTGAAACAATGGCTCACTATCCAATGCCACCAGTTAGAAAACTAAAAGAAAGAAAGATTTAAAAGCAGGTTTTGCATCAAAAAAAAAATCAATAAGACAAATCAGCCCAGGATTCGCCGAGCATATTCTAAAAGCTCTGAAGAGATCAGCATGCGCGGAATGATATGGGAGATGAGATTACCTCACAGTTGGAAAATAAATAATTTTGTTTTGGAGTAGGATGGTTAGTGGAGCCAAGAAATGAAAGACAAAAAAGTCATGCAATTCTCAAAATCTATTGTTGCTGCAAAATCATTCAATAACTATCAGGCTATTCATAAGCAATTATATTGCAACAAAAAAATGCTCAGCTTTGCAGAATGATCAATGATTAATACTCAATTCATTGTCACTGATTACTTACACATTTATTTGCATTACATATTGTTTCATTTCTTTCAAAGAATTCTCCAGTTTAATAAAAAGCTGGAAGAAAGTGTACTGAATCTCCAGATCTTCCTGCTTTAATAGAAAACTCAAGCCTCCACTTTCTTGAGACACTTCTCCATTCTGATTAACCAACTCCTCTGGATTCTTCTGTTGATCTATTTCTCCCTCCTCCATTATTAGACACTTCCATTGGGGTGCTGCCATAGTGGTGATACTGTGCCGAGTGTAGTTCATAGGATTTATAATTCCTGCATAAAAAAACAACTTTCAGTGACATTCATTCAGCTATTTCGCCAGCGATAAAAGCACCATTGAATATTTGTTCTGAAGAAGGATCACTGGACCTAAAAAGTTAACTCTGATTTCTCTCCACAGATGTCACTTGACATCTGTTTTTGATAATGAATATTAAACACACAATGAGCAATATGTAAATTGAGCTACATCGATCGCCCAGTGTTGCCAGCCTAAAACGTTGATCCATCAATCTGAGGAATAAATTCTAAATCCAGTTTTGATGGTCAAAATCAGCTACAATCACATAAAGCTTCTGTAACAAGCAGCAAGATGCAGCTAGATGGAGCACAGAATCTATCTGCAGATGAGGAAAGTAAATAAGTGTAAATTCCAAATATGAGTGCAAACAGGTGATTCCAACAATAAGAAGAAACTTTAGTCCCTATCAGATGGATACAGCATAAACTAAATGATCCCTGAAAGTAACTTGTCTATAATATGCACAGAATATTCTCAACATCCTGTCAGTGGCCCAACATTTGCTGTACTAACAACAGCAATTCTGTCACTGCTCATATTATTACAGGGTAAAATTGAAATTCTGATATCTGTTAGTACAAAGGTAAATATGGAATACCAGAAGTTGGAATCAGTGATGTTAAGCTCCTCAATTGGCTGAGCTGTTGCCAAATGGAACCTATTCAGAAATCACTGTAATGATATGATCTTAGGGTAATTGCCTGCTAGTCATGTTCTAAGGGCAGATGAAAAAGTGAGAGCTAATGTATTCAGGATGTGAGATTTTACCTTCATGAGTAGGAAACTCTACCCAACACCTCTAGCTCGGAATTTTCTCATGAACAAATATGAAGCCCTAAGTAAATTTATATTGCAAAATTTTCAATTGTTTCCTTTTACTTGATGTCACATCATTAATAATATGTCATGATTATTCTTCTTCGCCTTGTACAGAACTGGTCTGCTGATTGATCTGTCATCAATACCACAGATATCCATAGAGGATGCAACACCAGATTTGCTCCCCAGTTACTAGAAATTTCCACAGGTAAGTCTATTAAATGTCTCACAGCAACTTATATGCAAGATATTTGGTGCGATGAAATCCACATCTTTTTGCATCTAATTGTACTGTATAAGCCAACAATCTGGGAATATTGTAACATTCAAGTAACTGGATGTTCCAGTGGTTACTACATTTGCCTGTTACAATAGTGGCTGGATCCACACCTGCCTAGGAATAAAGGCAGGATTTGTTGCAAGATTTTCAATAAATAACTCAAAGTAGTTCAAAGGCCACCAATATTAGAACATAAGAGCTAGAAGCAGGAGCAAGCATCTCGGGTCTGCACTGCCATTCATTACAATCATGGGTGATCTCATCTTGGCATTAACTCCACTCTCCCGCCAACTCTCCATAACCTTTCAACCCATTACTAATTTAGAATATGTCCATCTCTTCCTCAAATTTACTCAAAGTCCCAGTATCTACCACACTCTGGAGTAATGAATTCCACAGATTCACAACCTTTGACAGAAATAATTTCTCCTCTTCTCTGTTTTAAATCTGCTATCACTTATCTTAAAACTATGACTTCTTGTTCTAGGTTACCCCATGAGGTAACATCCTTCGTTTATCAACTGTGTCAATCCCCTTTAGCATCTTATATATCTCAATCAGGTCTCCTCTCATTCTTCTAAACTCCGGAGAGTACAGGCCTAAACCGCTCAATCTCACTTCGTAAGACAAACCCCCCATCTCTGAAATCAAAAGCAGTTCAAGGCTTGGAGTCATTTATAGTCAGAGACAATGATAAGCAGCAGTGCAGTTGGAGCTCAGGGAAAAGTTCCAGGAGTCATTTGATAGCTCCGTGCACTTAGAACTCAGGAGAAGTCCTAAGAGCTAGTAGGTGCAATAAATTATGGGAAATAGGATACAGGGAAAGTCTTCGGAGCCAATGGGAGATTTGGGGCATTCAGGAGAAGCTTAATAATTCAATGCAGTAGAGAGTGAGGTGAAAGAAGTCCAAATGCAGGAGTTACTTGGTGCAGCTGAACAAAATTAAAGCTTAGAGAAGCACACACAAAGTCTCAGGTTAGTGAAAGTAGTGGTCCAGGCACAAGCTGAAATTGTATTTGTGAGTAGATGCTGAAGAGCAGTTTCCTGAGGCAACAGGAAAATAACATTAATTGAGATAGTGAACTACCAGATATGGGCAGTCATTGAGGCAATCTACGATAGAGTAGATTTTGAGGGAGTTAAAGCTAGGTCTTTGGAAGAGAAGAAATAGGAATCCCTTGAAAGGTTTTAATGAGACTTAATGATGATCCACAGTGTCACTGACAGCTAATGAAATGCTGAGAAATCCATGGGATCTGTCTTGACCATATTTGTTATTTGATGTGCTCTATGGTGTATTTAATCAGTTTGTCTGTTACCCATAACTACCTCAGCATAATTCTATACTTTAAAATATAAATTGTATATAAATTTGCTGTTCACAGCAAAACGTAGCTCCATGCTTTTATTCTTTGAGTGAATACACAATTCTCAAAAAAACAAATCAAAAATGTAAGTATTAAAGTCCTTTATCCCATCCCTCTTCCGTAACAAAACAAAGTGGATAGACAAACTTTACATTGGCTCTCCATGCTACTTGGAAGCTATTTCTTTGGCTGAAGGGGCAAAACCTTTCAACGTAGCAAAGTTATTCAGGTAGGAGCCAATTCTAGCCACTTTTTCTGGCAGTGGTATAGTGCTGCACAAAGCTGGTGTAAGTTTGTATTGGAAATCACATTCCCCTCCCCTGAAGGTTCATTGCTCAAGTTTGTGAAGCCATTCAATAAGATGATGGTTCATCTGCTTGTGTTTCGAATTCCACATTCCCGCCACATTCCACATCCCGTCCTTGATTACCCTGCCTAACAAGAATTTAGCTACGTTTGTTTTAAAAACATTCAAAGAGCCAGCCTCCACTACCTTTTGAGGCAGAGTTCATAAATCGATCAACTCTCTGAGAAAAAAATTCTCAGCTTCATCCTGAAAGGGTGATCCCTAATTTTAAAACCTACTTCTGGACAGACTCATGATAAAGACTTTTTTCCACATTAACCTTGTCAAAACCATCAAGATCATATTCAATCAAATCAGCCTTCACTCTTCTAAAACCAATAGAAATAAATCCACGTTATCCAATCTTTCACTCGTTTCAGATAACAATCTAGTGAACCTATTCTGAACTGCCTCCAATAAGGAGACCAAAACTACACACTGTATTTGAGATACAGTCTCACCCATGCCCCTCGACCTGAAGCATAAAACTTTTTCATTTGTGTTCAATGCCTCTCATAATAAAGGACAACATCCCCAGGAGTCTTCATGATTAGGTGTTAGAACATAGAACATAGAACATTACAGCGCAGTCAGGCCCTTCGGCCCTCGATGTTGCGCCGACCTGTGAAACCAATCTGAAGCCCATCTAACCTACACTATTCCATTATCATCCATATGTTTATCCAATGATCATTTCAATGCCCTTAAAGTTGGTGAGTCTACTACCGTTGCAGGCAGGGCATTCCACGCCCTTACTGCTCTCTGAGTAAAGAACCTACCTCTGACATCTGTCCTATATCTATCACCCCTCAATTTAAAGCTATGTCCCCTCATGCTAGCCATCACCATCTGAGGAAAAAGGCTCTCGCTGTCCACCCTATCTAATCCTCTGATCATCTTGTATGTCTCTATTAAGTCACCTCTTAATCTTCTTCTCTCTAACAAAAACAGCCTCAAGTCCCTCAGCCTTTCCTCATAAGACCTCCCCTCCATAACAGGCAACATCCTGGTAAATCTCCTCTGCACCCTTTCCAATGCTTCCACATCCTTCCTATAATGCGGCGACCAGAACTGTATGCAATACTCCAAGTGCGGCCGCACCAGAGTTTTGTACAGCTGCAACATGACCTCATGGGTCCGAAACTCAATCCCTCTACCAATAAAACCTAACACACCGTGCACCTTCTTAACAACCCTGTCAACCTGGGTGGCAACTTTCAGGGATCGATGCACACGGACACCGAGATCTCTCTGCTCATCCACACTACCAAGAATCTTACCATTAACCCAGTACTCTGTATTCCTGTTACTCCTTCCAAAGTGAATCACCTCACACTTTTCCGCATTAAACTCCATTTGCCACCTCTCAGCCCAGCTCTGCAGCTTATCTATGTACCTCTGTAACCTGCAAAATCCTTCCGCACTATCCACAACTCCACCGACTTTAGTGTCATCCGCAAATTTACTAATCCATCCTTCTACGCCCTCATCCAGGTCATTTATAAAAATGACAAATGGCAGTGGCCCAAAACAGATCCTTGCGGTACACCACTAGTAACTGAACTCCAGGATGAACATTTCCCATCAACCACCACCCTCTGTCTTCTTACAGCTAGCTAATTTCTGAGCCAAACCGCTAAATCACCCTCAATCCCATGCCTCCGTATTTTCTGCAATAGCCTACTGTGGAGAACCTTATCAAATGCTTTACTGAAATCCATATACACCACATCAACCGCTTTACCCTCATCCACCTATTTGGTCACCTTCTCAAAGAACTCAATAAGGTTTGTGAGGCACGACCTACCCTTCACAAAACCATGTTGACTATCCCTAATCAAATTATTCCTTTCTAGATTATTATAAATCCTATCTCTTATAATCCTTTCCAACACTTTACCCACAACCGAAGTAAGGCTCACTGGTCTATAATTACCAGGGTTGTCTCTACTCCCCTTCTTGAACAACATTTGCTATCCTCCAGTCTTCTGGCACTATTCCTGTAGACAATGATGACATAAAGATCAAAGCCAAAGGCTCTGCAATCTCCTCCCTAGCTTCCCAGAGAATCCTAGGATAAATCCCATCCGGCCCAGGGGACTTAGCTATTTTCACACTTTCCAGAATTGTTAACACCTCCTCCTTATGAACCTCAATCCCGTCCAGTCTAAGAGCCTGTATCTCAGTATTCTCCTCGACAACATTATCTTTTTCCTGTGTGAATACTGACGAAAAATATTCATTTAGCGCCTCTCCTATCTCTTCGGACTCCACGCACAACTTCCCACTACTGTCCTTGACCGGCCCCAATCTTACTCTCGTCATTCTTTTATTCTTGACATATCTATAGAAAGCTTTAGGGTTTTCCTTGATCCTACCTGCTAAAGACTTCTCATGTCCCCTCCTGGCTCTTCTTAGCTCTCTCTTTAGGTCCTTCCTGGCTAACTTGTAACTCTCAAGTGCCCTAACTGAGCCTTCACGCCTCATCTTTACATAAGCCTCCTTCTTCCTCTTGACAAGAGATTCAACTTCTTTAGTAAACCACGGTTCCCTCGCTCGACCACTTCCTCCCTGCCTGACAGGTACATACTTCTCAAGGACACGCAGTAGCTGTTCCTTGAACAAGCTCCACATTTCAATTGTGCCTAGCCCCTGCAGTTTCCTTCTCCATCCTATGCATCCTAAATCTTGCCTAATCGCCTCATAATTGCCTTTCCCCCAGCTATAACTCTTGCCCTGCAGTATATACCTATCCCTTTCCATCGCTAAAGTAAACGTAACCGAATTGTGGTCACTATCACCAAAGTGCTCACCTACCTCCAAATCTAACACCTGGCCTGGTTCATTACCCAGTACCAAATCCAATGTGGCCTCGCCTCTTGTTGGCCTATCTACATACTGTGTCAGGAAACCCTCCTGCACACATTGGTGCTGCACACTAACTTTTTGTGGTGCATGAGCCAGAATATCTAAATCCTTCCGCGCCTTGGAATTCTGCAGTCATTTTCCGTTAAAGTAAACTATTTCTTTATTCTCCTTCGTAAAGTGAACAACTTCATATTTTCCCTCATCATACTCCCCCAGCCAGACTTTTGCCCCCTGACTAGATTGAGATTATAAAGTATGAAGGGAGCAAGTCGTGGGCTAGGGCGTAGTCCCAAGTATGTTTACAAGATTTTGTGAACTTTCCATTGGAATTTTTGGATTTTCCCTCCGTCAGAAAATATAACAGCTGGAACCAACAGCCAGGAACCCTAGCTGTAGGTCTCTCAACTGATAGTTTGAATTTCCTGCACTTCTAATCAGAATTGGTCCAATTAACTGCCTGACTCAGACAATAACAATGCATTTATGCCTGGCGAGGCTGGTTCTGTTCAGAACCATGCAATTTTCAACTTTTGAGAATTAACTCCAGGTTGCAAGAAAAGGGAACTGCTTCTGAAAGAAAAACAGCATTTAATCAATCCAATGTTTAATAATATGGATAAGTTTAATAATTTTAATTCACATGATTTGTCTTTGAGTAGTCTTTTAGCTATTATTCAATATTCAAGATTATGTTCAATAAAAATGGCCAGTAAAAAGAAAAAAAACTCAACAAGATCATATTTTCCCCTGACAAAAATTTACTTGAAATCATATTTTCCATAAAATTTGATCCTTAAAAAAAGTTTTCCATTTCCAAGAACTGTTTCAAAGATCATTTTCATTCCTACACATGTACAATTAACAGGCTGAGGATGACTATTTTTCCCTATTTTTCAAGATTTATTCAACAACTGAACATACATTTTTGCTGCAAAATATGGGTATAAATCTTACCTTCTGCAGAAAATTTCTGTGGGCCTGGTCCACCATTCATTAAATCTTAAATAAAAACTGAAAGAACTGTGGATGCCGTAAATCAGGAACAAAAACAGAAGCTGCTCGAAAAGCTCAGCAGGTCTGGCAGCATCCGTGATTAAAAAAGTCAGAGTTAATGTTTCGGATCTGGTGATCCTTCCTCAGAACTCATTAAATCCTGGCTGATTTGCATTTTAACTCTACTCACTACTCTGGCTCCACATCAATTTACATCCTTGTCTAGCAAAACTCCACCAATCTCAGATTTAAAATTACCTATAACATATCAAATTTTTATCACCTCTGCCTTTCCCATGATCCAAGATCCAAAGTGTTCTTTCCAAGGGAAGCAGTGATTTACTTTTACATGTTTTGATTTTGGATACTATATTTCCTACTCATAATGCAGTCTCTTCTATATTGAGAAGATAAAACACAAGCTAGAGGATGGCATTATTGTAGATCTCTAGTCATTCCACAAGGGTGATTCACAGCTACCAGTCATTTGCCATTTTGATTCTCCATGCCACTCTGGTCTTAGCTTGTTTCAATAAAGCTCAAATGCAAGCTCAAAGAATTGTTTATCATATTTTGATTCAGTGCTCTACAACGTTCTGATAACACAGTACACTAACTTTAGGTACTCCCATTTTTTTGCAGAGATCGGGTACTGGTAATAGGATCATAGAAATGATACAGCGTAGAAGGGGGCCATTCACCCCATCTTGTCCACGCTGACCCAAAAATGCCCTTTCTAATCCCATCATCCTGCATGTGGCCCTGCAGCTTACAGCACTGAAGGTGTGGATCCAGGTGCTTTTTAAAAGGCATTTAGGATCCCTGCCTCCACCACCAACTCAGGCAGCAAATTCCAGGCACCTGCCACCCACAGCATGGAAAGATTTTCCCCACGTCCCCTCTGATCCTTCTGCCACTAAGATTGAATCTATGATCCCTGATTTTTGAACTTTCTGCTAAGGGAAACAGGTTCCTCCTGTCTATCTCTACCCCTCATAATTTTGCATACCTCAATCGTGTCACCCTTCAGTGTTCTCTGTTCCATGGAAAACAACCTCAATCTCTCCGATCTCTCCTATTAGGTACAATTCTCAGGCCAAGGTAATATTCTGATAAATCTTCTCCGCACTCTCCAGAGCAATTACATCCTTCCTGTAATGTGGTGACCAGAACCGCACACAATACTCCAGTTGTGGCCTCACCAATGTCTTATACAGTTTCATCATTGTGTCCCTGCTTTTGAATTCAACACCTCTGCCAATGAAGGACAGTATTCCATATGCCTTCTTTACAACATTATCTACCTGTACTGCTAACTTTAGGGATCTATGCACTTGCATGCCAAGATCTCTCACTTCATTTATCCCTATCAATACAGTCCTGATTATTGTGTATTCCTTTTTATTATTTGACCTCCTAAAATGCACTACCTCACACTTATCAAGAGTTGAACTCCATCTGCCACTTTCCTACCCACTCTATCAATATATCTACATCATTTCAGAGCTTATAGCTATCCTCTACATTATCCACCAATCCACCTGCATCATTTTGCAGCTTACAGTTCCCCTCTACACTCTCCACTTCATGGTCAATTCTTGTGTCTGCAAATTTCCCAGCTGAGTCCCCCATATTCTAGTCCAAATCATTAATGTATAAAACGAACAGCAAGGGTCCCAACACCAAGCGCTGCGGAACACCACTTGAAACAGCTTTCAATTCGCAAGGGCAGCCATTGACTAATACCCTTTGTTTCCTGTAACAAAGCCAACTTTAGATCCAATTTGACATATTACCCTGTATCCTGTAGGCTTTTACTTTTTTGACCAGTCTGCTATGTGGGACCTTATCAAATACCTTATGAAAATCCATGTAGAAACATCCACTGCACTACCCTCATCAATCCTCCTTATCAATTCCTCAAAGAATGCAATCAAATTTGTAAAGCATGACCTTACCTTAAAGCCATTGCTGACCATACTGTCTAGTCCATGTCATTTTAAGTAACAGTTTATCTGATCTCTCAAGATTGGTTCCAACAATTTCCCCACAATTGAAATAAGGCTAACTGGCCTATAATTGTTTAGTAATGTCCTATGTACCTTTCTTAAATAAAGGGACCGCATTTGCATTCCTCCAGCATCTCGCTTGTGTCTAGTGAGGTTTGAAGAATAATCCTCAAAGCATCTGCTACTTCTCCCTGACCGCCTTGAACATCCTAAGGAACAATCCATCCAGCCCTGGTGACTTCTGCCATCACCCACTGTTACTCCCTCCCTTGCTACCCTAGCCCACGTCCGATCTCTGTAATTGTTTTAAACCTGTCACATCGCTAACTTAATTCAGTTCTGTTGAAAGGTCATCAACATAGAATCTTTACTGTTTTTTTCTCCAGATGTTATTTGACCTATTCAGTATTTTCAACATATTCTGTTCACAGCACCATAATTAAACACCTAAAACTGGGAACATTTGGCACAAAGCAGACCAGACAAGATCTGATACAAATTGAATGAGGAACACAGACTTGGAGCACTTTTATCACATTTTGACTATATAGGCCATTTCAAAGTGCTAAATGAAAAGGTAAAATTGAGTTGGGACAACAGAAGAAACAGGAAGAATAAAACAGGCTTAAATTGAGAGCACAAGTGTATAACAGCTCCAGGATAATAAAGGCATCTTGATCTACCATGTATAGCTAAATAAAGAAGATATTCTAATGTCAAGGACAACTAGGTACAGCTGGACAAAAGGAAGAGATAGGTGTGGACAAGTTTGTAAGCCAAATGATGCATCCTTCCAGAGGCTCAATGCAAAAATAGTTGGGTGCTACTCAGCGTTACAAACCCAAGAGGACCCATACTTAATCTCTATTTGATTTAAATACTAACAATGAAAACAGTATGCATTCTATAATTTGCTCATCAACTGGCCACCAGAGAAACTAGAAATCATCTGTTTCTGATCATTATCTAGTGACGCCTGCTGGAAAAGCATCAAGTGAGTGATTATATCAGATGAGAATGCGATCATGCATTCTGTTATCAGTCGTTAACTTGCTGCCGTTTACAATCTTGATTTGCGAAAGCGAAAAGCAAACTTAGACTGGTACTAGAGGACTGTCAACGTTATGAAACTCTAACACAGATCACATTTTCGTCACATGTAATGAAGTTGGTCAATGAGGTGTAATTCAAATCATTCAACAGGAATTCATGTAGTCATAAACTAAATAAACTGAAATTTTCAGATAATAATTTTCTATTACCGTGATCTTGTTCCAGGCCGAGGAAAGAATTTTTTCGACCAAAGCGTATGCTGAATGATCTTCCCAGAGAGGTAGTACTTTTTGGACAGGATACTTCAATTACATTAATATGACAGTTGCTTGGACAGAAGTCAGTGCAGTCTAATGGGTGTAACTTGGGTGAAGCTTGCTTGAAGGAGGGCCATGCTTTATTTTTCAACTCCTGGGCAAACTAAAGACAACCACAAAGAACAGGATTTAATAAAAGATACCATTGTGAACGTTATCCACATGATTCCACAGCTTCCAAAATTTAAACAGAAGATAAACCACGTACTCATCTTGAAGATGCCGGGCAGTATGTACAGACAGCACTTCGATGATAAAGAATTTAATTCCCTTCAGTTCAGAATTGAGTTTGTTTATGCACTTGACTAGTTTGGTTGTTTTCAGGAATTAACTATTCAGCCACTATGTCTGTGCCAGTTCTTTCAAAGATCTATACACTAAATTCTATTCCTATGTCATTGCCAAAATCCTTTCTTTTTTTTTCCCAAATATTTTTCAACATTAACTTTAAAAGAAAACATGAATCTGCTTCTACTGTTATGTCTGATAAAAGGGGCTATTTTTGAGTAAACCTTCTTCCATAAAATGAAAGCATGGAAAATCATATTTTAGGTACTAAATGGATAGAGCAGCATGTAGTTTATTTTAATTGGGGACATTGTTCTTGTGCAACAGTAATTTTAAGAATTTATAAAGATTTCCCCAGCTAATTTCAAAAAATGCTTTTACAATGGCACTATAGTTGGCAACCAAAAGACTTTTCTTATTCCAAGATGGCAGCAGAATAGAGCTCCTGTGCCAGAGCTCATCCACTCTTTTTAATTTCTCGCTTTTTTTCTATTTTTAGTTCTTTTTCTCTACCTACCATCTGAAGGGAGCTCAGTCGTGGCAGCAGAGGCAGCGACAGGAGCAGCTGGGGGCCCAGAGCAGGGATTTTGGTGGTCAGGCACAAGGCAGTTGATGTGCCTGGGTAGAACTTTGATGGTCAGTGGCATCGCAGAAGTGGCTCAAGGCCCAGAGCGGCACCAGAGTTGAACTCTGGCAGCCTGTGGCAAGGCAGCTGGTGAGTCTGAATGGTGGTCAGTGGCAAGATGGCAGCATTGAGGCATGACGATTGAGAGATCGAGCCCAGCGCAGGGGAACAGATCGAGCCCAGCGCAGGGGAACAGGTCGAGCCCACATGGGGAAATCCCAGTGTGAAGTAACTGCAGGACCATGGCTAAAGAAAGACTGTAATTGGGAACTTTTAATTTTATTTCTTATTTTCTACTTTATACTGACAAGAATTATAATGTTGAACTTTTAACTTATGCCTTTATTTTTCTACTTTTTACCTTGTGTACCTAGGTCCCTTATACCTAAGATAGTGCTATGAATGATGACATTGTAAACTTTTCACTGTACTTCTGTATCCCAGTGCTTGAGTCCACGTGACAATAAAACCTAATTCTAATTCTTATCTGAACATATTGCAACATTTTCTCTCACAATTAGAATGTGATCCCCCAAATATTGGTGAAAATCTTGCAGCCTCACGTAATGAAAATAGACTGTGCGTTACAATAAATGGGCGGCCTTTTAGTGTTCAGAGTGAATGAGAAATTTGCTTGGCTGTAAATCGACACATTCAGCTCGAGGCATCAATACTATAAAGAAGTTAATTAACACATCTCCAACCAAAGCCAAAAACAACTTTAGGAAAACTAAAGCAAAATCAGAACAAATACAAGAAGTTTTTTAACTACACTGAACAATGATAAGAATGTACCATTGCAGAATCCATAGAAACTGATACTTCAACTAATCAGATGTTACTGGTCATATTCTATAATTTAGCAAACAAATTTGTTATATCTACCTTCAAATAGTTGGAAATTCTGTGGCCAATGGTATCGAGCTTGGTCTCACACAGATGGCTGAATTCCAATTGAGGCTTAAAGATGAGAGAATTCCTAGAAGATATCAGTCCTCTGCAGTTCTTTACAAACTGACGGTCATCTGCTGCTAAAGCTTCCAAAATCTAAAATAATAAGTAACGTCAGTTAAGAATGTATTTCAAACAATGAAATAATGTTCTTTAATATGTTTTCATTATAAACATGACACATAATAGAGTTCTTCTTTGCCAATAAACAAATGGGATTTCCCTATTTATCAATCAAAGCCACCTCAGTCAGCAGGAATATAACTTTAGCTGGCAAAACTTGAAGGCAATAGGATATAAGCAATTGCAACAAATATGAAACAATCTGGCAAGACCATCAAACTCATCCATTTCCTCACAGAATGAAACCACATGCTAAATGCTAGTGATACTAAATTCCAGGAGGGTTGCCAATGTTTGTTGGACATGTTCCAGGAGTTTTGATAACAACCTGCTGTCTGAAATGTTACTGTAGTTATCTTGTAAAGGTTCGGCTCGTGCAATGGAGTGTCTTTGCTCATGGCTTTGCATCAGCAGCTGCTGTGCAAGAACTTGAGAGAAGCACGATCAAAATTGGGAAAGGGAGTTGCCGAATATTGGTGGGTGTGGGGGAGCCAGGGATCATGGTGGAGAAATCAGAGGTGGGAAGATCTTTGATTCAAACAATACCAAAGAGTAACTCTATGAAATGTCATCAATAATTGAGGAACAACACTGCTACCATTCAGACTCCCTTCATGACAGAAACAGAATAATTTACCAACACTGAAGGGAGACTGGAGTGATTAGGGCTATATTCACTGGAGTTAAGAATGAGGGGTACAATTTCTTGAAACCTATAAAATTCTGACAGGACTAGATAGGGTAAACACAGGAAGGATGTTCTAGATGATTGGAGAATCCAGAACTGGGGTCACAATTTAAGGATGTGGGATAGGAACTTAGGACTGAGATGAGAAGAAATTTCTTCACCTAGAGAGCAGTGAGCCTGGGAAATTCTCTGCCACAGAAAGGAGTTGATGTCAAAACAATGAAGGTTTTCAAGAAGGAATTAGATGTAGTTCTTAGGGCTTATGGGATCAAAGGCTATGGGGAGAAAGCAGGAATAAGTTTCTGAATTGGATGATCAGCCATAATCATATTGAATAGTGGAGGAGATTCAGTGGGCTGAATGGCCGATATCTGCTCCTATTTTCTATGTAATCTCATGCCTAATAATGTTTACCTTGTAACGACCCTATGCAGCGAATAAGTTTTTGGCCATTTTCACAGAGCACCTTGCCTCCAGATTAGCATAGCATCCACATTTCCAAACCCTTTCAGGCTTGGGTTCAAAGTAAAGTCTTTATGAAATGATTTAACTTGGGGCTCCACAATTTTCTGTCTTGTCTATTCCTTCCAGAAACCACTTCCTCACCAAAAAGATAGCTATTTCATCTCCACTCAGTCTTTCATCAGCATGGATTAACTCTTGGTGATGACAAATGTTGACTTTAAATTTGAAGGGATTTAAAAGAAATCATACTAATTGACTTAGTAAAATGTACTACAATTTTAGATAGGACCATTTGTTTTAATATTGCTCATTGGTTTCATAATAATTTAAAATAAGATTTCATAATTCCAAGTTAGCCTTCAGAAGGCAGGAATAGTTGGTATTCAATCTAATGCAATTAAATGGAACAGCCCTGTGTTAAGAGTTCAGTGATGGTCACTGAAATTTGTAGACCTACTTCGATTTATTAGACTACAGTCTGTCATCTGAAAGTGAGGCTTTGAAGTTTAAGCCATTTCTTAGTCCTTTATCTTTGTTATGCAAGCTATTGTTGCAATTTATGTGATCTTTTTGATAACGGAAATAAAATTTCTCGGAACATGCATGAGAATTCATACTTTAAATATAATTAATCTGTACCTTTGCAGTTAAATTGAAGCATCCCTTAGGCTCCACCATTTTTTCCTTGACGTGACATTTTATGCCGACTGTACTGACATACTCATAGACAACACCATGCTCTAAATACACATTATCGACAGTCATGTTGACATGAGAGGTCGCCCCATCAATGATCGGTGGCAGGCCTGCAAGGATTGATAAAGGATTACCTCATGCATTAAAACAAGCTCAATTGTTCACTTGTGAGATTTACAAACTGCAATCAGACTTTGATCTTTCTTGGAAGTAAGACTCCCTACCTCACTGGAAGCCTGTTCAAGCTTAGGGAGGTAAGTTAAATTTACAGAATTAACCAAAGGAAACTGCCCTCATTTTGGAAGCCTGCGATCATGGATTGATTTTTTTTTTATACAAACCTACACAGCACTGTATTGCTACAGAGTTGAAAGGATCCAAGAACCAAGATGCCTAATCTGAACCAATCAATGAATTTATCTGGAGCAATACCTTTCAGGCATTTGCCTAAACAAGTAAAGACCAGATGTAAAAAATAATTAACTGCTTGTCATTCTTGGGATCAATGTTCCCTCTAAAGATGTGGATAAGATATTAAAAAAAAACAGGCCATACACAACTTAGCCAGTTTGTCTGGAGAAATTTCTAACGGTGTAATTTGTAAAATGTAAATTGCCCATTCAGAAAAAAATAGTGCTTTGAGGAGTTTGTAAGTGACCTAGCACACAGAAAACTGAAAGAAAACATTGTTTGGGGCATTCTAAAAAGGCAACAAAGCATAAAACAAATTCTTCACTTTCTATCATTCCATCTTCACCCACATCCTCCTTATAAAGAAATTCCTCAATTTCATAACTAAAAATCATTTGAGTTCACTAAAACTTCAGAGACAATCAAGAATGGCATTAATTGAAGTTAAAAATTGCATGAGATTTTAATTACACAAAGTGACTTTTGATGGAAAACAGGATATTTAGAAAATGATCGCAATTTACATTTTCGCATGTATGGATGTAAAACTGACAGTGGTCATTGCAATAAAAACAGCAAGTGCTAATAAAGTACAGCAGGTCCAGCAACTTTTGTGAAGCAAAAAAGAGTCAATGTTTCAAGTCCAATATGACTCTTCCTTAGAAAATACCTGCTGGGTTTCTCCAGTATTCTGCTTTTATTTCAGATGTCCAGCATCTACAATACTCTGCTTTTATTTGAGTGGAAAGTGCAAGTTGAGTAAATGGTTAGACTCCCTAGAGCACAATTCAAGGGCTCCAATAGATGGCCTTATATCAAGTAAACAAATTTTATAAACATTTTTCACTCCATGTCAGGAGAGAGATCACCAGCTTTTCTCCCTACCCTCACCATTCTCTAATGACAAAATAGAATGCCCAGGGAATTGCATTAACAGTAAGAGTATCAAATATCAAACCAAGGCCTGAAAGTGACAGTCTCTGACAGTCACCTGCAAGCTGACTGTGAAACTGCATACAGTCTTGAAACTGGCAGTCAGCCAAACCTGCTGAAAAGGAGTCTTCCCTTCCCAGCCAATTTTACAGTTTACACCAATTGCAGCTAGCTGTGAGAGACAACATTGCACGTAAGCATTGCATGACCATGTTCCCACAGAGAAGAAATGCAGCTTACAAGTGAAAACAGAAGTGGTTTACCATCTTCCTTTCCACAGCAGCTGTAAAAGCTGACAGGACATAAAAGCTATTACCAAGGTACTTGATCTGTTCAAATTTCATGGATCAGTGCACAATAAGTTTACATTTCCTAGATACTGGTCTGAAAATATCAATGTATGGCAGCTGAACTTTGATCTGATAATGTACACAAGTTTCATGCACAAATCTCCATATGCCATGACCATATCTACATGGAACTCTTATTTGTTTGAAGCCAGTCACTTAAATAGAGCCAAAAAAAACTTCACCTTACCAGTTTATTCTTCACAATCAAATGCTACTCGGGTTAAAGCAATTTGAACAGAAATTAATTGGAGTCTACTACATTGATTGTTCAATGTAACTAAATTTTAAACTTTGTGCACTTAATATCTCAAAAATAAATCAACATAGAACACATGCAAGACTTCTGTTTAAAAATATGGTTTAAGCAAACAAGTTCCATTTGTAATTAATCACAACATACCTGCCTCCTGTTTGCTCTCAATGATATGATCACATGGTTTTGTTTGATTGGCTGGAACATCTAACGATTTATCATTCATTGATAGATCGGAAATACTGTAAAGACTATCTGTGTTGACTTTTGTTTGTGTTGTCTCATCAACATCTTCAACAGTCCTATATATCCACTGACTGGAGCTTGTATGCTTGAGAAATGAGACAGTGAGAAGTATTAGGATTTTTTGTGCTATTCATTAGAATTAGACATTTTAAATTTGTTCAAGCCCAATAAGTTTTAAAAGAAGAAACATAGTGTTTTGTTTTATTTTACTGGATAATACTCTTGGTATTTGCTAGAGTTGAATCTTTTCACACAACCGATTGAGAAACCAGAATTTAGGATTATTTAATTGTTTTCGGTCAAACCAGAGTTCCCAACAAGAGAAATAAGATAAAACAAAAGATTAAAATTAAAATTACCTGGGTTTTTAAATACCAGATTTGTTTTAAGGAGGGTGGAGGGTAGGAAAGGGAAGAGATGAAAATATTACTCTTATTTGGCCCAACAAATATTGGTATCATTTATGTAGCAACCCATCAGAACTGCAAGTATAAATATTAATGCATCACCCTGATTACAACCACCACGTGGAATTATAATATTTTCTGACACAAACGGTTGTAACAAAGATTGCTGGATGAACCTAGATTGAATAGGTCTCTATAAACATGTCACATGACATTTCAAGTCTCACTCCAGAGCTTGAGCATAAAAATCAAGTTGACATTCCAATGCAATACTGAGGGAGAACTACAGCAGCATCCAATGTGTCATCTTTAGGTTAGGCATTAAAACAAGGTCCTATCTGCCTGCTCAGGTGAATGCAAAGGATCGCATGACATTATTTTGAAAAGGAGCAGTGGAAGTTCCTCCTGGTGCCTTGGCCAATATTTATGTATCAATCAACAGGACACAAAAATGGAAATGAACTGGTCATTACCATATTGATTTTATGGGAATGTGATAAGCACAGGTTGCTTGCCATGCTTCTCATGTTACAATGGTGACTACATTTCAAAATTATTTTATTGATTTGTGATAATGTCATCAGATAATTTCATTTTTACACACATTCTTTATGTTTTACCAATTCAAGATATTACTTAATTTTTCCAGGCAGACTGACATATCCATTCATATGCACATGCTCTTCCAAACAAAGACATGCTATTTCTCACAACTGGAAGCGCAATAGGGCATTGTCTTTCAATTATATTTATGCACAATTGTGTATAAATAACAAAGTATAATACACTTTGTGGTTCTTTTGCAATCTCACATTTATACAAATTCATACACGTAACAGTAGAAAGTACAAACGACTAAATGCAGAATAATGGTGACACTTTACATCATTACCATTTCACTTGAATCAATTCACCTTGTCACTTCTCACAGCTCCTTAGCTATCCCAGAACCCAAATGATTCCCTACTTGGCAAGACAAACCAAATGAACACTTTCCAATCCTTAGCTAGTTATGCATCTTCAGTTACTCAAAGACGTTAGAAACACTGTCAAGCAATTTGAGTGGTTTGTGTGGTACTGTCTCACTTCTGACATCTGCAATGTCACCTAGCCTTTGGTAAACACCAGAACTACTGCAACTCAGTTGGATTACTTGACTGTTTCACTTTCTTACTATGAAGCAGTACTACTGCGAGTCACTTAACACCATGAATGGCCAAGGTCCTACAATTCCATACCAAATAGCACTGTGGAGGCAACAACACCAGGAAGACTTATGATTTAAGAAGGTAATCCTCCATCGTATTATTTTATTTGTTTAAGATGATACAGTGATGAGACCAAGAATTAACATCCAGTTAGAGTAAAATCCCACAACTGTGTGTGATTAAATTGTGACTTACCAGAAAATGCTGTGGATTATTTCTGCATGCACTGAAGTGCTCAAGTACTTCAGTATAGTTTTCTTTGCTAACATTGTTTCCGTTTACTTTTAGAATACACTGGCCAGGAAGAAGTCCCGCTGCTGCAGCCCCAGACCCTGGACGATAATCAGAATTTTAGCATATTCTTACAATCTATTTATAGACTACAAAATTAAAACTGCATAACCCTACAACAGATGTTGAAAAGCATTGCATTGATAGGCTTATGCTGAATTACAGCTCGTAGCATTTGCCCAGGGCAGTCAACCATCAAACTGGATACGGAAAATCCTCACAATGAGGATATGGCGGCACAGTGGTAACTATGCACAAGTATTCCTGACCCATGTGCTAATGCTCAGAGAACATGGTTTCAAACCACGCCACAGCAAAATCTGAAACTATAAGATAGAGTTAGCAATGGTGACCATGAAATCATTATCGATTGTTGTAAAAACCCATCTGGTTTACTCATGTCCTGTCAGGAAGGAAGACTGCAATCAATCTGGTCTGGCATGCACATCGCTTCAGACCCACAGCGATGTGGTTGACTCTTAATTGCCCTCTGAAATGGCCTAATGAGCCATTCAGTCACTCAGGAAGTTTAGGGATGGGTAACAAATAAGAGGCTTGCCAGCAAGGCCCAAATCCCATGGAAGAATAAAGAAAAGCATAAAAAAAACTGAGACTAAACAAATATTGAAATGAAAGAGCTCCCATTTTCAGACCTCCTTTCCAATATAATATCCATTAAAGCTTCTCGTAGAGAAATACATCAAATGCGTTGTATAAGCATCACTATCTGTACAGAATATTCCCCACTAACAACTGGAAATCTTCAGTAGACCAGAACATCAAGGACTTCTTGCATTATTATTTCACAGTTATCATTTAAAAGGCCCATTTCAAAATATAAACAAAAACTGCTATGTTTAATAGAAACTGAAATGAACAACAATTAAAAGATTTTGGTCAACAAATGAATGAATGGAAGATGATAAATCTTTTCCTTGTGTCACCCTGTGCATTGAGAAATCCACATTCTGGCCTGGTCATTCTTCTCACACTCTTCCCAACATTTCTCATGCAAGTACTCGTACACACACTAGGTGGATTAAGAGGATGAAGTCAAAACACATTCACACAGTAACGACTAACAACGCTTTAAGATTAGATCCAGTGTGCACACTTTTTCACTTCCTCAATTTGTTTGGCCTACTTGACATTCATTCATAAAGATGCAGTGTTTAAACCCTGAGTGTGATAAGAGAGTGAACAGAGAAAAGAAAGGGAAGAAGAATAAAACAGACTAACAGCTCTATATTTTCTAGCAAGATGGGACATCACGAATGAACTCCCTGGGAGCTTGTGTGAAATCTTGATAAGTCAAAGCTAAATTGTCCATTCTGTACACTATCCATGTGCTTTGTAATAATCCAGAACAGGGTTGTTTTTCAGGGAAAGGGCATCTGTTTTGAAAGTGACTACTTTACACTAGAAAACCCCCTCATCCAGAGCTAATCATAAGCAATAACTCATTAAAAGCCTTAGTCAAAGAATTGTGTTGAAGTACACAATCTTCTGTCACTCCTTGCACCCACTGTTTACAGGTTTTGCATTTTTTGGCAAAAAGAGATTTGAAGCATATGGTTTTCAGTCAATGGTTCTGGGAATCCCAGTATTCAGACATAAATAGCTTTTACCATAACCACTACACAATGCTTTTTCCTACCCAGTATTCTGCAATATCCTGTTGTAATCTATTGCACTAAGATTTAGTCTACAAATGATTCTTTTTGGTTAAATTGGATCATAGGATCAGCATTAGCTCCTAACATTTTCAGAAACTGCTCACAGTAAATAAGCAACAGAAAATTGACAGTTTTGGAGAATCATGGATTTAATTGTACATAGAACTCTATTAGTACAATTTGTTGCAATATACAAACCTCAACAAGTTTCTCGAGTGTTCAGTTTCTTTTTAAGTAGTCAGTGACAAGCATAGATAACTAGTTTGGGAAGCTTTCTTTTTCAGATTAAGTTGCTGATGGCAAGTGAAATTATTTCACAGTTCAAAAATATAGGAAGGAAATAGGGGTGGAGTATTTCTGCGATTAAAGGATGAAATCAAGGCAGTAGTGAGAAGTGATGCTAGCTCTGAGGAGCAAATTGTGGAATCAGCTTTAATGTTGATAAGGAGAAGCAACGGAAAGAAGTCACTCATAAGAATAATTTACACCACTCCATAGCGGTAGCTACATGTAGGGCAGAGAACACAAAGAAATAATGGGGACTTATAAGGAAAGTTCTGAATTTCTGGGTGATTTCAATTTTCATATATATTGGACACAACAAATGGGGCAAAGATAGTGCTGAGGTAGACTTCCTAGAATGTATTTGCGACGCAGACTTCAAACAAAACTTTGGTGGAAACAACTGGAGAATAGGCTATTTTAAACTTTATAATGTGTAATGAGACAAGATTAATTAACAATCTCAATGTACAAAGATTCTCCAGGCAAGAGTAATTATGATACAATTTCTCAGTTTGAGGGTGAGAAGTTTGTGACTGAAACTAATGCCTTAAACATCAACTACAAAGTTATGAAGACAGATTTGGTTCAATTAGACTAGGAACATAGTGAAAAGGTAAGACAGTGGAGAAGCATTAAAAGACATTTAAAGAACATTCATAATCATCAACAAAGCTAAATTCCATTGAAAAGAAAGACTTGATAAAGATGAATGGTATGAAATTGAAAAAGTAAAGGCATACAATGTATGAAGTATGTATGTAGTTGGTCAGATTAGTGCACTGTTAGAAATCAATGAAGGATGGCTAAAAAATGAAGTGGGAGAAATTAGTACCTAAAACTACCAAAAAATTAAGCAGACAACAAGAGGTCCTACAAGCACATAAAAAGGAGAGAATAGTCAAAGTAAATATTAGTCCCCTAGAGGCTGAGACTGGGGAATTAATAATGGATCACATAGAAAAACATAAGATTTAGAAGAAATATCTTATATGTGTCTTCATTGTAGACAACACTCAAAGCATCACAAGAATGGTAGAAAATCAAGGAGAAAAACAGGAGGGAAAAATTTAAAGCAATACTATCATTGGAGAGGAAATAGTAGGAACACTTTTATAACCAAAGACTGATAAGTCCTTGAACCTGATGGCTTACAGTTTAAGAAAGAAGTGACTGCAGTGGTTGTAAATTCGCTAGATTCCGAAAATGTTCCAGTAAATTGCTAAACAGCAAAAGCAACGCCCCTACTCAAGAAACGAAAGAGATAAAACAGGAAAATATAGGCAAATAGCCAAACATCAGTCTTTGGAATACATTGGAACCCATGACTAATGTGGTTGTGGCAGGACACTTAGAAAAACATTAAATTATTTTGACTGTCTGCTTGCATGAATGTGTTTAACAAATTTATTCATATTTCTTTAAGAATATAACAAGTAGGATGGATAAAAGGGAACTGGTAGGTATTTGAATTTCCATTACTTATTTAGAACAAAGAACAGTACAGCACAGGAACAGGCCGTTCAGTCCAAGATGTTGTACCGAATATGATGCCAAATGAAACTAAACCCTTCTGCCTGCCCTTAGTCCATATCCCTCCACTCCTTGCATATTCATGTGCTTATCTAAAAGTCCCTTAAATGCCCTTATTGTATCTGCCTCTGCCACCACCTCTGGCAGTGCATTCCAGACTCCTACCACCTTGTGTAAAAAACTTGTCCCTCACCTCTCCTTTGAACTTTCCCCCCTCACCCTAAATGCATGCTGCCTAGTATGAGACATTTCAACTCTGGTAAAAAGGATTCTGATCATCAACCCTATCTATGCATCTCAATTTTATAGACTTCTGTCAAGTCTCCCCTCAGCCTCCACTGCTCAAGAGGAAACAACCCGATTATATTTGATAATATTAAGTTAACAACACAAAATAAGAGCTCAAGGTGTTGTGGCTGATATGTTCGCAAGGACAGAGAATTGGCTAACTAATAGGAAACAAAGAATTGGAAGAATTGGTCACTTTCAGTTGGCAAACAGTAACCAGTGGAGTACCACAAGGATTTGTTTTTGGGCTTCACCTATTTATAATGTACGTTAATGACTTGGAAGATGGACAGAGTACATTGTAACGAAATTTGCTGATGCTACAAAGATGTGCTTGAAGATGATTCAAAGACATATAGATAGGTTAAGTGAATGGTCAAAAATTTGGCATATGGTGCATCAAGTGGGAAATTATGAGTTTGTCCACTTTCGTAGGAAGACTGTAAAAGCAGAATGTTTAAGTAGAGAGATATGATAGAATAATACTCTGCCTACTCATGCTCACATTGCTCATGTTAGATTTCTATTAAGAAACTGAATAACTCATTCATTGACCTGAACTGCCAATTTACATTTTTACAGTGCTCATTATAAACTGGAGATCTTCAATGGTTTATGTCATAGTAGTGGGTAAGTGGACCTCAAACAATAGTAAGGAAAGAAAACCGATGTGAACACAGCAGAAGCAGGGTCCATAAATCCTTGAAGGCAGGGAGAACCTTGATAATTCGAGATGTTAAATAAATTCCAGATGGAAGAAATACTGACACTAAAAGTGAAACCGCAAATGATGCAGAATTGAATTGGAAGACCATATGATATAGGAACAGAATTAAGGCATTTGGTCCATTAAATCTTCTCTGACTTTCAGTTATGTCTGATAGGTTTCTCGACCCCATTCTCCTGCCTTCTCCCATGACTCTTGATCCCCTTACCAATCAAAGTCCTATTTATCTGTAACGTTAATCGTGTTAACTCTTTGTTTCTTGTTTTTCTAACTTATACTATGAATCACTGTAAGGTAATGTAACTTATTTTTATTTCTCTATTTTGTAACTAAGACTTGTACGTAGGAACTTTGTACCTACGACAGTGCTATGAGGGACAACATTGTAAACTTTTCACCGTACTCTTGTACTTTTTACTTGAGTGCACATGTCAATAAACCTAATTCTAATTCTATCTCTGTCTTAAAGCCACTCACAGGCTTGGCCTCCACAGCCTTCTGCTGCAATGAATTCCACAGATTCATCATCCTCTGGCTAAAGAACTTCTTCCTCATCTCACTTCTAAAGGGTTGCCCCTTCCCTCTGAGACTGTGCCTTTGTGTCCTAGTCTCTCCTACGAGTGCAAACATCTTCTCCACTTCCATTGTATCCACGCTTCTCGGTATTCTGCAAGTTTCAGTGAGATCCCCTCTTATCCTTCTAAATTCCATTGAGTATAGAACTAGAGTCCTCAACCACTCCTCATGTGACAAGCCCTTCATTCCCAGGATTATTTCAGATGAGGCCTCACCAACATCCTGTACAACCTCAATATGATGTCTCAACTTCTATCCTCAAAGGTCTGAACAATGAAAGCAAGAGTGCTAAATGCCTTCTTAACCACCCTGTCTACATGTGTCGCAAATTTCAAAGAATTATGTACCCGAACCCTTAGGTCTCTCTGTTCTACAACACCACCCAAGGCCCTACCATTAATTGTATATTTCCTGCCCTTGTTTGTTTAACAAAATGCAATATTTTGCATTTATCCAAATTAAACTCCATCTGCCACTCCTCAGCCCATTGACCCAACTGATCAAGATCTCTTTGGAATCTTAGACAACTGTCTTCACTGTCCACTATCACCAATTTTAGTGCCATCCACAAACTTCCAAAACATGCCTCCTAAATTGTCATCCAAATTGTTTATATAAATGACAAACAAAAGTGGACCCAGTACTGATCCCAGTGGAACACTGCTGGTCACTGGCCTCCAGTCTGAAAAACAACCTCAGCAATACATCTCTGTTTTTGCATTCTAGCTGTCTCATAATGAATGCTAACATTGCATTTGCCTTCTTAATTGCTAAGTGAACCTGCATTTTAACCATAAGACAATCCTGAACTAGGACCTCTAAGGCCCTACTGAAGGAATGAAGAAGGCACACAATAGAACAAATAGCAATTGGAAAACCCTTGGCTGGAATTGGCACTGAGGGTAAGAATCTTAATGTAGAATCTCTGGGATACAGCAAACACCCAGAGTTTGATGAGGACAGGGATGATAAGGAATTACACAGGTGAGAATGGGGGTTGCAGCATTCTAGATGATCTACAATTTGAAAAGGTTACTGCAAGGATACTGCGAGTACTGGACAGAGGCAACAGTGGAACAGTAAAGACGTAAATTCATGCATTGCATGAGAAATGGTGGATTTGATCAACCGCTGGCTTGTTCAGCGAGGAAGGAGTTTGCAATATACTTGGTAATTGGTATTCTGTGTGCTTTTGTGTTGGAAATTCATTTTATCTGCCATTTCTTCCACAAGGAAATAATTGCACCTCCACACCAAGTTTCGCAGAATAACCAACAACTTGCATTTATATATTCCTTATAACAGAAAAGAATCCTAAAGGCTTTAAACAAAGACAGAATTAGAAATAAATGGACTTTATGCCAAGATAGATATTAAGAGGACTCAAACCCCCACTACTCCTGCCTCTCATGAAACCATCTGCATACTCTTACCTCTTTTAATATTACCTTACGTTCACTATTCAATTATTTCCAATAATGACAGAATGGAACACCTCTGGGTGCTTTTCCAATAATCCAAATAATGTAAACAAATGAAAATCAGGCAGAAATTTTCAGCTATACATGGTATTCTGCAAGTGGTAATGTCAAATCTTGTCCATTGGAAATGAATAATTTGAAGAGCTTTACATCTACACCATAAATGAATTGACAAGTACTATTACCAGATTAGAAAGACTAGATGCTGGTGAATATGAGATGACTCAATACAATCAAATTTCATGCTTTAATCACAGTTTACGCGGAGATGTTTACCTGAGCTAGACTGCACTAATCAACTTAAAGCTATGTTTTGAACAAAATTTTAAGAGTTTCAGATGTCATCTATTCATTATAATGCTATAGTGGCAGCAAAATAGAATGATCTTTCAAACAAAATATTTAAATGTTTTGGTGATCAGAAAATTTTTATCTTAAAAATTGAAATAGATAACAAACCAAATTTGGCTGTGACAAAAGTGGTCATTAACCTTATTTATCATGTTTAACAAATAACATGCAGATACACTTTTTTTTGATTTGAACACCGGATATTGTTACCCTAATAATACATACCAAGTCATTAATACACTTGAAAAAAAGAAGATTTTTGACTGTGTACTCAGTACAAAGTTGAGATCCTATCCATCATTAATCAAGGACATCAAAAATGTGTTCAAACAAGAAAAAAAACATTTAAAAGCTTCTCTACAATCTCACTTGTAGCACCCAATATTTCTGCTACTTCTAAAACATCTTACATTTTACCAAAAATAGAGTCTTCACACCTCCTCCTCACCTGCGTACAATTATGCAATTTCTCTGCAAGTTCAAACTTCTTTATTGATCAAAGAAAGTTAAATTGCAGGTCATCATCCAAATGTTTGAAGGTTAAGGCTCACGTAATTGTAGAACTATAAAAGCTGTATTTTGAGCTTTCTGTTGAAGTGCTGGACAAACACTGTTTTGGTAATACTAGAAAGCTAATGAAAAAAAAGTTGTAAATCATGTTGAAACTTGCATTTAGTGTGGATTGTGAGAAAATGACATGATGTGTTGTACTATGCTATAGTTGAGCTCGGGAATTTGTCAAGTGCGTAAACATACCATGACAGAAAAGACAGAAAGAGAGGGAGAAAGTAAATCTATACAGGAGACAAGGTGAATGAATAATCTGTTTCTACAAATTTCTCAGCTGTTAACTGAAGGTGAGCCAGATAGGAGCTTGTGTGGAATTTGTCTTGCCAATTCAACAAGCTGAAATTGATTCCATATTCTTGGAAGGGAGAGGGGGAGGGGAGAAAAAAAAATCTCATCTCATAAAAGTGCAATGTTAGGGACTGTAACTGCAAGCCAAATGCAATCCCTTCAAAATCAAGAAACTTTGCAGAATGCCAGCTAAGCACAGTTCCAGGTTTCTGGGATCTTATTAAAACTCCCGTGTTCTAATGGGGGAGAATGAATGGCACTAAGGCAGCACATTGGTTGAGAGAAGGTGGGAGGACTTGGGTTCTTCCTCTACGAGTTCTCAGCATAGGAAGTAAAGCACGAATGAAAGTGAGAATCAAAAGAAAAAAGGGAAATAAAAAGCAAGCATATCACAATAGTTTGACCCTCCACCTCCATCAGTTCCAAATATGTACACACAGCCTGTGCAAATATTGCTCTATCCCCATTCAGAATTGCACCCGCTTGGTCAGAAGCAGTACACCACACGTGTAACAGGAAAAAAATTAATGTTTTCACTTTACAGCTACAAAAAAGAACATGATTTCTAAATGTTATCAAAAAATGTTAAACCTCTAATAAAACAATAAGAGCAATTGATTGATCTCTCCAACTGGCATCCAATTTAAGATCCATTTGGCACTGTTGTAAGTATGTAGCCTGTAACTATCTTGGGGCAGATTTTACAGCACCAGTAGCGGCAAATGTTCAGCATTCATCACAACTGGGTGTAGGTGAGGCCTGCAAATTTCAAAAGTGCACACATGTACATGCTTTTCTTTGACACACCTACTTTAGGTCCTGAGTTTCTGCTGTGGATCTTCATGTGACTGGATAGGCCAAGTCAACTCACACTTGAGCACATGGGGAAGGACATCCCATGAGATAATGAGGGTCAAATTGTAGAATTTGCTCTTAATTCTTATTGCCATCGCTTTTCCTCATCATTTAGGCATTTGGACCCCAAGTTCAATTGACAACTTGTTGTCATTCTTATCTAGTGGCTCCCAATCATTACTGTCAATACTGCCATGCTTCAAGGTGAAACTTAGTATTATTATTACAACTTCTTTGTCCTCCCATTTGTACTTGGTTTCGCAGGAGTTTTGGCTGAATGCTTTTAGAACTGGCTTCAAGAAAGATACTAACATTTGTTGACGAGTGGTTGAATCGGGGTATACAGTGGAGGCACTGTTAGTGGAATTTCTCCATCATTCTTATGTATCGCTGATACACAATTCAGAGCTCACTGCAGTCCAGAGTGAAGTGACAACATCTGCTCTGTGTATTCACTTTATAAATTATCATTTTTTCAAACTAATGTAAATTATCTTGCTCTAAAATAAGTTGACATTTTAATTTTTTAAGAATTATTATTTTCCAATGCAATTTTAAAACATAATTATCCATTAAAAAATGATTTTGCAATATCTTTTTACTGTGATAGTCTTCTTTTAATTCAGTTTTTGGCGAGCTATGACCATAGGCCATGCCCACAACTACCTGCCTTTTTTGCATACGCTATCCTGTGCAACTGAGCATTACTGCAAAAAGTACAATTGTCCTTCCATGAGTCAAATTCTAACCACTGGGATGGTGGTAGGTCCTTGCACCAATTGTATTCAATGTCAAAAGCAACTATCATGTTATTAGGGACCATTTTTTTTGTGTAAAATCACATAATATATAATAATCACCTCTGAATTTTCACAACAGTTGATTGTGCATCCAAGGCAATGTTAGCAACAGATCTGTAAAATCCAATGCCAATTTCCTGACTTGCATGTCTTACCTTTTAGAACTGCATGAACAAATGGTGGGGCAGCTCCACGTATCTGAAAGCTCAGTCCTTCCAAGGAGTCGGGAACTTTGATTATCCTGCATCAACATGCAATATAAATGTTGAGTAACTACATTTAGCAAGTTGATCTTAACTTTGTATTTATTGGCGTAGTCTCACACTTCGTGGCTAGCCATGAAAGCAACCATACTACTACAAGTATGTTAAAAAGTGCAATAAATTAAATCAGTCTTGTTAGCAAGAGGCCTTTCAATGCATAATCACAAAGCAGGACCATAAGTGGGACTCTTGCTGTCATCATTTATATTACAGCAAAATCACAAATGAACATCATGCAGTTTTAGCCCAACTATTCTAGTATCCTTACTTAAATTATTTTAAGAGGAAAACCAGGTGGATTTCTCAACAAGCGTGTGGTCTAAACTATCCATTTTTGAGATATACATGACATTCTTCTACATTCATCTTTGCTTAGTTCCACGCTTAATTTGCTAACTTAGATAAGTTAGCTCCTAAATGCTTTTGGACATCATTTATCTATTGTATTTTCTCCCAATAACCACACAACTATTTTCAACCTGGGATCCCTGGTCTCAAGGACTTCAGTGAGATAATCAGATGTTACTGGATGTGCCAATGATAATTTCTATTCTCTGTTTAAATTGGTCTAGAATGGGGAGACAATAGTGAGACAATACTTCAATACAATGTTTGTTGTTCTTGTCCTTCTAGATGGAAGAGGACTCAGACTTGGAAAGTGCTGTTGAACACAGCTTGACAAGTTGCTTCTTTACATTTTGTAGATGAGACACAATGCTGTGACTATGCTTTAGTGACAGACGCTGGGAAGATCAAGTGGGCTGCATCATCACAGATTGTGACTAGTTACTTGAGTATTGTTGAAGCTGCCCTCTGCCATGCAAGTGGAAAGAAATGTATCATACTCCTCACTGTGCCTTATTGAGGGCTTTGAGGAGGCAGGAGGTGAGTTGCTTGCCCCAGCTCTGGTAGTCCTAGTATTCATATGGCTGGTCCAGTTCAATTTCTGGTCACCCTTATACGAACATACAAACAAGGAGCGACAGTAGGCCACTTTGTTCTTTCAGCCTGCTCCATCATTCAGTAAGATCGTGGCTGATCCGATCTTTACCTTTGCTGTACATCCCAGGATATTCCCAATAACTTTCATCCCTTTGGAATCAAGAATCTATCTACCTCTTCCTTAAAAAATATTTAAATATTCTGTATTGACTGTCTTTTGAGGAAGAGAATTCGAAAAACTCACAACCCTCAGGGATTTTTCTTTTCCCTTATCTTTGTCTTAAATGGGCAACCTCTTATTTTTAAACTATGACCCTTAGTTCTAGATTCTCCCACAGCAGCAAACCTCCCTTTTCACATCCATCTAAGTCAAGTGTTTTCAAGATTTTTGCTGTTTATAGATATGGCTGAGAATAAAAAGTAAAAATTACTGAAACTTGAATAGCTGCTAAAAAATGCAATAAGTTTCAATACTGTCATTTGAACTTTGAGACCTGACTTGGATTCAGAACCCATCTGAAGGGATGAAACTTTTCTTTACAAAAGTTTGAAGTGAAAATAGACATGTAAAATTAGCATTAAGATAATGGTGGTAGATGTAGGAAGTGAAAAAAGAGGCAGACCAGCACAATTGGGAATGCTGTGCAACACTATTGTTGTGCTTGTCTAAATTTGTTTATTTTTAACATAAGGTATGATTAATCAAAAAGTTGCAAAATGTAACAGTGAATGTAGAAATATTCCAATATCCAACACAAAACCCAAAATAAACAAGGTTGAGACTGATGCAACTAGAGTGAGGAAGCTGTTGAAATGCAATTGGTTGCAATGATCTCATCTGCCTGATAGCCCTTTCAAATGGCAAGCAGTTTACAGAAATTGGTATGCTCTGATTATGTAACTAATGTGAAGTATTACTAATAGCAGGCATATTGAAATCCTGCATAAATTTCTTTTGTTGGTCACATGAGATGACTCACTCTTTGGGTTTTGTGGCAATCAGCATCCTCAGTGGCCTCCGACTGCAGTACAACTGATTTAAAATTGTCTCCACTTCCAAAATTGGTCGAAGAAAAACCAAATCTTCATTGATGGAGTAAATCTTCCTCCCAACCTGAAGGCCTGCCACCTGCAGAACAAATGAAAGATCAGAGTTTTTACAAAGGCATGAGTATGATCATGCAAAGCAAAGGAGACTGAGGGGTGTCATTGACAGAAAGAAACCATTTCCCTTGTTGGAGAGATCAAGGACCTGGGGACTTAGATTTAAGGCAAGCAGCAGGAAGTCTAGAGTGGACTTGAGGAATATGTTTTCACCCAGAAGGTGGTGGGAATCTGGGACCCATTGTCGGTAAGGGTGGTAGAGACAGAAACTCTCATAACATTTAATAAGTATTTAGATGTACACTTGCAATGCCACAGCATACAAGGCTATCCACCAAGTGGTGAAAAATGGAATTAGAATAGTTAGGTGGTTGTTTTTATCTGGTGTGCACTCAATGAGCTGAAGGGCCCTTTTCTGTGCTGTTGACATCTATGTATCTATTGTGGATTAGTCACCAATATGAGACTTTCTGACATTACATCTACTTCCAATTTATGATATAAATAAAAAAGAACAACGATACTAGCCGAAAAGGTTGATGCCTTTGAACCAAACTCTACATATATAACAATACTAGAATAATTGCTCAAAATTCATGTCCCAAAGAGAAACATGACTTTTAGAACTCCTTTCATTGTACGCAGTTCCATAACAGAGCATCAGCAAATGCTGGTATTCTAGATAATGTTCATTGTATGAGGGAAAGACAAAAGTTCAAACTAAACAGTGAGTTAGAAGGGTAGAAGTGAATTTTATGGTAAACAAGTCCGAGTCCTCTTAATTCAAAACAAGCCTTTCATTTGAAAACCAACAATACTTTAATATGGAAAATCTGAAACGCAAACATGTAGTTTTAATTAAATTTGTTTTTTCCCTGTTCTGAAAAATCTGATATCCTAGTTTACATGAAGCACATCTGTTCAGTTTTTACTCAATAAGCCTGGTGCATGATAATGCAGTTGAGCCACTGTGACCAGCATCCTTAAAGGTTTTGTCATTTATTACCAGACTGGCAATTTGTGCTTAGTATTCCAGTCGCCTGTAAACTCCATTCACCACTTCCACAAGCACAGCTTTGAAAACAACCGAAAAAATTTTAACTGTTAAGTTTCCCAAAAATATTTTTAATCAGAAAGTGTTCATTAGAAAAGACATTGTGCACTTCCAGAGTTACTGGATTACACTTACATACATTCCTACTTAATGTATTGCACCTAAACAATGAACTTTTATATGAATTTCCAGTGGCAGGCTCAAGTAATTGTTTACTAACAGGTAGTTGAAAATCTAATTGAAAGTAGTCCTATTAAAGTAAAATGGTCAAGAATAAGTAATGTTTGTCTCATACAACTTAGGAAAAGGAGGCAATTAGGCCCTTAAGCCTGCTCTGCCATTCAATAGGATCATAGGTGACCTGACTGTGGCTTCAACTCCACTTTTCTATTGCAATACTACTTAACTCCCTTGTGAATGTACCCACGAGTGCCTTCAAAATATTAAATAATCCAACCTCTATTCTGGTTTCCCCTTGGGCAAACAGATTCACAACCCCCTCCTCCCCAAGTCTAAATATTTCTCTTCATCATATCTTAAACATTTTGAATTTTTAAACTATGTTCCCTATTTCTAGGCTCTCCGATAAGGGGATAACAATCTTTCAGCGTCCACCATGTCAAGTCTCCTCATCATCTTGCAGATTTCAGCAAGATCAGCTCTCATTCATCTAAAACACCAATGCATACATTCCCGGTTCTTGGCAGTAAGGATACGTACATATACTACGCCTGTTTCAACTCAACAAAATAGGTGTCAACTGTTTACCAGTTCTTTTCTTAGGACAATAACTGACTGGTCAAGGCAATCTGCATGGTTCAAACTTCATTCAAAGCTTTGCAGTTAATTGTTGGTCACCATCTATAACTGGTAGATTCTGCACGATAATGTGTCTACCTATCACCTTTCACTTGCGAACCAATCAACATTCTCTTCACACACCGTACAAGTGTTGTTTTCCATTTACATTGTTATTCTTGTGAATTATCCTAATGAGTGCAAAATGAAATGCTTTGACATAATGTATTTTTTCTGATCAACTCAAAATTCACACCAAATTACTAAATATGAAATTGTTTTAATTTACACAAAATCTATGGTTGGTAAGACAAGATGTCAGAATTGTTATTGTTCTGGTTAAAATATAACCAGAGCGAAGAAACGTATGCAGTGAGTGAATAGAAAATCCCTAGAAGCACTCCTGCTCTTTTGGTACCACAAAGCGAGAAAATGATGTGTGGTACTGGTGCATCAGAATTAAACTAATCTATTCATATTGAAGTTTTACCGTGGAAATGCTATTATTATGATTGTTTCGGGCAATTCCACTTTCAAATGGACATGCACACTTGCAAGAAATTGCTGCTAACTAATAGAACTGCATTCTTACATTTGAAGAAGAAATCATTGAGGCTTAACCGTACATTTTTATGTTGAGTTGAACTGCAGCTTTGATACTGTATTCTGATTCCAAGAGACCACTATAACATTTCAAATGACTGACCCCCTCACGCAAATTATAGCATGTCTAACGGAGTCATTGTATTGGTTGCCTATGACATTTTATAATTTAAGGTGTATGACCATGCATGACATGGTCCTCAATTTTTTTTTATATGTAATAACTTGATTTTTGAAACATATCAACGATGAAAAACCAGACTAAACATGCCCTAAATATTGGAACCCATATATCAATCTCGTTGGTTTAACTATGACCTATGATTGGTCAGGCAGCATATTTTATCTTTTAAGAGAAAAAAATTGGACAATTATAAATACATTACATATGTCTGGAGTTTGGAAAATATTAATTAATCAAGCAGTTCCTGTGCCTCTTTTTTTCTGTAACAGGATATTACATGAACTGCAAATCTAACTCTAGTCCATTATTTTATAATACATTGGCTTCTTGCTACAAATTGGGTCTGCCACATATGGATCATCAAAATAATGGTGACTTACTTTCTTTGGAATTTACTGAGACAATATAATCCAGGAGAATCATAAATATCCCACTGAAATGTGAACTATTGTCATTCACATGTGTGTCTCCTCCATAGCCCTATCCAATTTTTTGTGGGACATACATAAATACATATCATTAAAATGGAAAAGCTGTCTATTTTCGCTAGTGTAGACAGTCTATGCTCACTCCTGCACCAGACCATCTGCTGATGAATCTTTTGTTCATATTTTCTCTGCAAACTTGTCTATCCCAATATTATCCAGGCCAGCTCATAGCTTCCACAGACTTTAGAACATCCAGAGTATACTGTAAGCATTTGAACTCATACTAAGTCTCATCCAATCATCATCCATGTTTGCTGAGTTACAACAGCCTCTGGTCTGACAGCACTCAGTTTTAAAACTTCCATCTTAGTTTTGCAATCCATCCTTGGCTTCATCCATCCCCATGTAATACCTTATCCTAAAACAAACATTTCACCCAATGCTCTGGAGTTGACTTATACGTTCTCAGCCACTTCCTTTCTTTGCACTTTCTTCAGCCTCACAAACATCTGAGACCTTAAAGTTGTAGAGTCTTTTTTTGGATTTTATGTGTCCCATACTTTCTTCACCTCACCTTCAAGGCCCAGGCTTTCAATAGACCAATCTCTAAACACTGAAACATGCTCAGAAAGTCAAGATGCTAAATTAGCAAATATTTAAGTGCTTGCACTCTTGCTCCACTGCCATATGGAAGACCAATATTTCAAGTGTTTTGTGAAGTGCCAAGCAATGCTGTGTACTGCTCTAGGGCTATTTTTGTTTTAAGAAATAGGAACAGGTGTAGGCCATTCTGTTCTGCTCATTGTTGCTGAATTGAAATTCAGAGCCAAAGAAAAACAGTAATTACCTCAGCAGAAGAGCCACTTTGTACAGATTTCACCACAATGACCTTATTTTTCTCTTCAATTTCAAATCCATAATTCTCTTCTTCGGGGAAAATCTAGGGTAACAAAATAGAATTAATTATACAACCATCCACAGCTTCCTGGTCCAACCTTCACTAGAGTCAATACAAATCAATTAAAGTTTTTGAGAAGATGTGTTGCTCGGTTGTGAATGAGTTTGTAGAGTTGCTTGCTGAGCCGGTGTGTTTGATTGCAGACATTTCGTCACCCTACTAGGTAACATCGTCAGTGCGCTCCGGTGAAGCGTTGGTGTTCTGTCCCACTTGTTATTTAGTCACTAGACACAAATCACCCTACTGTACATCAGAGACATATCAGAGATGACCACAAGACTACACAGACCCCTAGGTAGCAGGGTAGCCCACAAACCAACAACCACCTGCAACAGCTACTGACAAATGCAAAGGATCACATATCCACAACCAATAAAACTAACGTGATACACAAAATACCATGCATGGACTGTGAGAGACATTACATAGGCCAAACTGGAAGAAAACTGACAATAAGGATACATGAACGCCAACTAGCCACCAAGGGACACAACCAATTCTCACTAGTCACAATCTGCATGGGCAAAGAAGGACACAAATTCAACTGGGACAACACATCCATAATAGCACACGCCAAACAGAGAAATGCCAGGAAATTCCTGGATGCCCGGCATTCCAACTGGAACTCTATCAACAAACAGATTGTACTGGACCAGATATACAAATCACTGAAAAAACAGAACCGGAAGTAATGCCAACCACCCCTGTAAACCGAGACGTATAAATAACAAGCGGGACGGAACACCAACGCTTCACCGGAGGCACACTGACAACGTTACCTAGCAGGGTGATGAACCGTCTACAATCAAACACACACCAGCTTGGCAAGCAAGTCTACAACACAAATCAATTAAAATAGGAGATAGAACTGCAAAACTAGTGAGGTTTCAAAGCTTGAATTTGGAATGTCAGTTGTCATTGAGGAGTATTCAGTTTTCTTTTAATGACAACTTACATTAGCAACAACTAAGCATTTCCAAGCATGTCAAAATCAGAACTAGTTTAACATATTTTCAGTCACTCTTTGAAACTTGAAAAAGTGCTCTCCATCAAAGTAAAATTGTGTTGACTACAGTCAGTCGATAGAAATGGTTAATAAAGGGTGACAAATTTGTAAGCATCTGCTTTCTGTCCCTGAAGATGAACTTCACATCTGAGCTGTTGAGGTTTTCTTGCAATGTCTAATCTGCTCATCACACTTTTTACTAACAGAGAGAACTCCACTTTCCAAACTTGAAACTGTGTTAGTGTTATACTATTGGAGAAATCACCTAATGTACACATTAAGAGAAGTGAAACACAATATAAAACATGACAAATTTCCTAAGCGGTGTTTTAGAAAACATTTATTTGTGAAAAATGGAAGCAGAATGTTGGAACTTGCAACTGAAATAACAAATGACGCAAGAACAGCTATCCGGCCTAAAACATAGATTGATAGATTTTTGTTACTCAAAAGACACAAAGGGATATGAGCAAAGGCAAGTAAAGTAAGATAGGTCACTATTCAGCCATATCTCATTCCATGGCAGAACATGTTGACTACCTTACACTTTTCCAAATTCTGCATGAAAACAGAACTGACTAAAATGAATTGGCAAATTAAGTTCTAAAATTGATCAAAAGAGAGGCAGACATTTTGTGGATACATCAGAGTACATTCTAAAGAGTAAAAAAAATTCTAAGAACTGTCCATGGTTAACTGCAAAGGCTAAACATACGATCAAACTTATAGAAAAAGCATATAATTGTGCAAAGATAAGGGACAGGTCAGATGATTGGATAGAATATAGAAAAACAGTAAAGAATACCAAATTATTTGAAGGGAAAAAGTAAAAACAGATAGTAAGAGATTTTTTTTAAAGAAAGAGAAGTTAACAAAAAGAGTGTGTTGGTCTGTAGAAAGAGAGTCTGGAAGATTAATAGTGGAAAATAAGGGAATGGCAGATGAAATGAGCAGGTGTCTTACATTGATCTTCATTACAGGGGATACAAGTAACATCCCAGAAATAGTGACAAATGAGGAAATGAAAGAAAGGAACTCAAGAAAATCACCAGGGAAGTGGTTCTGATAAAATTGTTGGAACTGTGGGCTGACATGTGACCAAGTCTGACAGACTTCACCCCAGCATCTTAAATAAAGTGACTTATGCGATGGTTGATACATTGGTTTTAATTTTTCAAAACTTGCTCGATACAAGAAAATCCCGTTCAATTGGAAGATAGCAAATGTAACTCCTTTATTCAAAAAGGAAGATAGACAGAAAGCAGGAAACTACAGGCCAATTGGCTTAACATTGGTCATATGGAAAATGTTAGATACTATTAGGAAAGAAGTTATAACAGCTCACTTGCGTTAAGTTCAAGGTAATCAAGCAGAGTCAAGTAGTTAGACCACACCTGGAACACTGTGAACAATTTTGGGCCCCTTATCTAAGGTATATTGGCATTGGAGGCAGTCCAGAGAAGGCTGATACCAGTCTTGGAGGGATTTTCTTATGAGCAGAGGTTGAGTAGGTTGGGCCTTATTGAAGCACACAAGATTCTTAGGGGACTTGACAGGATAGATGCACAGAGATTGTTTCCACTTCGGGGAAAGTCTAAGGCGAGAGAGCACCTAGTCGGTATTAAACTAATAAGAGATCCTTGTATTACTTGGTCAATAATGGTTAGTCCTTTAACCATATTTCCTTGCCTTCCAGTTTATTTGTTGTCCTTCATTTAGAAATACGTATTGAATATAGTATTGTGGATTGTGGATAATTCAGTTTATCTACAAAATTAAAGGGATTGCAAAAGCAATAACTTGTGACAAAAAGCAAAAATATATAATGCTTCTGTAACACAGGGCATAGGTGAGACCACCTCTCAAATACTGTGTGCAGTTTTGGTCTCCTTATTTAAAGAAAGGCATAAACGTATTGGAGGAGGTTCAAAGGAGTTTGATACTGGGCTATTTTTATAAGGGCAGGTTGCACTGGATGAACTTGTTTATGTTGGAGATATGAAAGTAAGGGGTGATTTGATGCAAGTATATAAGATTCTGAATGGTCTTGATAAAGTAGACTTGGAAACAATGTTTCATTTTGTAGCAAGCCCAGAGCTGGGGAAACCACTTTACAGTTAGGGGTTATCCTTATAGGATTGGGATGAGGAGAACTTCTTCTTTCTCTCAGAGAGTTGCACAACTTTGAATTCTCTGCCTCGGAAGGAAGTAGAAGTAAGGTCAAGGCAGTCGTAAATGGATTCTTGTTAGATAAGGAATCAAAGGTTATCAGGGGTAAATGGTGATTCAGAATTCAAAATACAAACAAATCAGCCATTACTGAATGACAGAACAGGCTCGATGGGTTGAATAGCCTTCTATTTCGCATGTTTGTAAGTGGCACAATCTAAGAGGATTCACACTCATCATAAGCTATATTTTGTCAATACTTAAAAATATAATTAATCTTGATTATTTCCTGGATTTGAGCTAATACTGTACTCAACTTTAAGTGTGAACCATGAAGGCTACTGAATGATTTCTGGAAGTCAAAAACTTTGAATATGAATGAGGATTATTTAAAATTTTTAAAATTCATCCATGGATAACATTTATTGTCGATCACAATTTCCCATAGGGCAGTTAAGAGTCAACTGCATGGCTGTGAGTCTGCAGTCACAAGTAGGTCAAATGAAGTAAAGAGCTCAAATTTCCTCTGCTAAAAGAGAAAAATGAGCCAGGTGGATTTTTATTATAATTAATGGTGGTTGTTTGGTCCTTATTAGACTAGATAAAGTTAAGTTAATGAAATTAAAGGGGAAAATTCAAATTCATCACTGCCAACATAAATTGTCATGGAAGTTGGACCTCACCAAAAAAATGCAAGACAACATTTGGGTCACTCGAACTCTTTAGACTCTGGAAATCAAAACAGACCTATTTGAATTGAAAATAGATTCATGATTAAGTGTTTATATTAAGTAAAATACTTCCAAAATGAGCCATTGACAAAAACTTAATGTTTCATGTGAGGATTGGATAGAAAGCTGCATTAACCTCAGAATTTGGCTTAGTATTAGAAGCCCCATTCCTAATTGCACCCCTATCCAAGGATTCCCACCACACCTTATGCGTAGTTTTATTTGGAGAATTTAACTTGATGACCAATGAAATGGAAACGTTTTATGTGATGACAAAGAGAATCTAACTGGCATCAAACGATAAGAAGAAAAGACAATATCAGTGTTCAAAACATGACAAGTAAGTCACATTAATCAGACCAGTTTTGATGTGGGTATGTTAACTGAACTTTAAATGCACTTTGAAGAAGCATAAAAGCAATTAACAACTTCATATGATGTTACAAAAGAATATTCTACCTTGACAAAATCATCTTCACTGAAGATAGCTATTTCTACAGCCTTTGTCCAAATGGCTATTATTCATGTGTGAGCCTAAATATCAGTGATCCATGACTAAACCTATTTACATAGCACAGTTAATGTAATAAAACATCCCAAGACATTTGACAGTGGCATTATAAAACAAGATAGTAGACTGTATAAGGAAATATTAGAGCAGATAGCCAAAGCAAGGTCAAATAGGTAGGCTTTAAGGAGTGTCGCTATGCAGCTGACAGCACACCTACCAATTATGGCAAGATTAAAAGCAAAATAATTAAGATGCTGGAAATCTGAATCAAACACAAAAATTGCTGGAGAAACTCAGCAAGTCTGGCAGCATCTATGGAGAGAGAAACAGAGTTGATGTTTCGAGACTGGTCTGGCTATTCTGAAGAAAGGACATTAGTGACTCAGATGGGATTTTACAACAATTGGCGTCGATATGTGGTCGACACTGGGCTAGCTTTTCAATCAAGGTCTGGTTAGATGAGTAAATGTTTCTCACCTCAAGTGAGGTTATCTGGAAATTGCAAGGAATATTAAGCTTTTCACCAAAAATAATGTTAGTCATTGTAACACCAAAAAAATTATGTACAGTTTAAAAATGTCACTGCAAATAACTCTATCCATATAATGTTACATTCATTTTAATTCCTTGTAACAATGTGGGAGTGAATGAATTACAACTCAAATAAAGCTCTCAGATTACCAAATTCAGGTCCAGTATAAACTCAATCAATCAGTTTACCAATATACTGTATCATCAATAAAGCCAAATACACAATAATAGTGCACCATTTGTCCACTGACAACTGTAATGTCTATTTTGTTAATAGTGGGCAAGCTCATTTTTGTTTCTGGGATAGTACATCAAGAGCAAAGCTTATTGATCAGTCAGTCAGTTTTCAACCTTGGTTAGAAATTCACCCCTTCCTACCCATCTAACCATAACAGCATATGAGATTTGGTTCATTATTCCATACTTTGATTTATTTATACAGTTGGAAAACATCATAAAAGTCTGCTTGTCGGCTCATTGAATAATTACATGATAAGCATAGTACTAGCACAAAGATCAGGAAATTTTCAGGTTTTAATCTGTTATCTATTAACAGCAGCTTATTTCCAATAATTTTGCTCATTGTAGGAAACACATTACATATGGTTCATCATTGCTTGGGCAGAGAAGAGAGAAGGAATTACAATGGGTGATCCTTATCCTAAACACCAATCACAGAGGGAGGAAATTAACAAATTTACATGGAATTTATGCACAAATAACACTACCTCATCAGGGATGAAACTTGTGGAGCTCTACTCCACCATCAGTCATTGCCTCAATGAGGAGAGCAGATTGAAAAATGAATATTGCATGCAATTTGGAAATAGACAGAATTTGTGTACCTTGAAATAGTCCTCAATAGATTTTGGCAAAGAAAGGGAGCATGCAACATCAAATACACCAATACTATTTTCAGGTAAACCAAGGGATAGAGATAAATGTTGAAAGTCTGTTAAATCTTTGACTAAGTCTTATTGTTGCAGCCAAAAACATAGTTCAGTGAGCAATAAAATCTATCCTCAAATCATTCGACAAAGAAATATATTTCAACATTTGTTCAGTGATGATAAAACTGGCCACAATAGCCCTATCCACTATACTGTACATCAAAACCAATACTCCTAGATAAAGAACACAATCACTGCTTTCTGGAAAGGCTTGAAGAATAACTACAATTTCATCAAGACCAAAAATTATGGGCATTTTAGGCTTTCATACCACCTTGAATTGTTCACATTTCCCTCCAGAATACCACTGTCACATGCTTTGGCAGGGGGAGAAAGTATTAATTTTCTGTACTGTGCAGTAGTCCCTTTGAGAATTAGGGCCTGGGTTTTCTGCAGGCCAGATAGTTATTTTGCCGCCATTGAGAGAGAGAAAGAGAGAGAGAGAGACAGAAACAGAAAGAGAGAGAACAAGTGCCAGAGAGATAAAATGAGCACCAGACTGAAAAAGATCAGAGTGAGAAAGAGAAAAAAAGGAGCACTGGAGAGAGTGCCACAGAGCCAGAAAATGAGAGCCAAGAGAAAAAAAATAAGTGAGCAAGACAGAGGGTGAGATAGAATGTGCACCATAGATACAGAGAAGAAGAGCATGCAGGACAGAGCAAGAAAGTGAGAAAAAGTGCAAGAGAGAAAGACGAAGTGCATGCACCAGAGAGAAGAAAAAGACAAAATACCAGAGAGAGAAAAAGAACTGCCAGTGATAGAGAGAGAGGGGATTAAAAGAGAGAGAAAATATTATTAGTCTGTTCTTGTAAAAAGTGGCACAATGCAGGAAGGGAAGGAACAAAAAGGCATTGTAACGTGAAAGAAAAATCAAAAGGATTCAGCTCACCAGGGGAAAAAGAAAGACAAGGATTCATGTCTTCACTTAAACACAAATCAAGAAATGAAAGATAAATGTCCATTAGCTTTCCATCTAACCAAATGAAAGGCATCTAAAATTTGCTTGTCATTTATACAATGTTAGATTGCGTTAAAATTCAAAGTAAAAATTTACACACTTACAAAGTATTGAATAAATTACCATTCCTCCTATTAACCTAATTTGAAGAAAGCATTTCATTCAGATTTCTGCAATCAATGTTCTGCAAAATTTGTATAACACCATGGAAAGACTCCTGCTTCAAATGTAGAAAGCATCACTTTCTGCTTACCAAAAGGGATTTAACAACAATGTTTTCAACCAATCTGAAGTCATTCCGCAACTGTTTGCTTTTGGAGCTGGTCCCTTCCATTTCTTCATCAGCATAGAGGCGAAAATGTTGGGACTCATCCTTGAATTCACTTTTCTCCAGCACTGATAAAAGTTAAAATTTATGTCAAATGCAGCAAAAGAAAAACCACATTACCTTACAAAACATCTTCTCAAAATTATGATAAATATATTGACACACAATTACATTTTTATGTTGACATCAGCAAATTTTAGCATCTATGAATTCAAACTATTACCAATGAAGAAAACTCTGAGCGAAAATCTAACACCCACTACAAATAGCATGAATAATTCATTTGTCAACACGTTTGCCTTCATTATGAACTACAGCAATAAATGAAAATTAACTTAGAAGGTGTCTGTGAAAAGCCAAGAAAATTGTTGCATTAATATCCAGTTCATTTTGAGCTAAAAATGAACCTATTTGTCTTTGACACAACATCTAAATTCACCCATATAAAATGAGTCAGTTGTTTGCCAAACATCAAATAACCACAAAAATTTGGGAAATGATAATTGCTTACATTCTAGAACCATCATTAATTTGTAAATAACGTATTTTTTCTGCAAGACTTGAAATATGCAGTTTTCCTTCCAGCTGTCCAACTTATTTTTAGCTCAAGTCAATTTTTGGTCAAGTGGTGAAGGGATATTTCATTGTTATCAATAATAGTCAATATGACACACACACACATTATACTGCAGGATTATGGTTTGACCAGGTTAGTACTATGCACAGTGTCATTACACCATGGTTCAAGAAATTAGGAAATGGTAAAAATGGACAAGTGGAAATATTAGAAATAGTTGCCAAACCACAAATTTCACTGATCATCATTGTTCCATGGAGAGATAAAGACACAATGTACATTTTTAAATGAATATGCATGACCTGAGAGATAAATCTAACAGCAGATTTCAGAGAAACCAGGCAATGCCCCAAAAGTCTATTCCAATTTATGAACCAAAGAAAGTTGTAAAAAATTTGTTTAACTTCCCAGTTAAGCTAGTAACTACAAATGACCTAGCAGTTCAAATACATGACCATTGGAAATTAGAAATGGCTGGAAGTAAAACCAGTAACAAAGATCTATTTAACACTCATCCTGCAATTTTATTGAATGCTTCCAAAATCTGTTTTCTGAGCTCCCAAAAGAACATTGGGTTTGAACATTTTGAGAACATAATTAGACATGATTTAAGAGGGAAATGGGAAGGAAAAAGGCACAAAGCAACGCCAACCAAACTCTTCCCAGCCCAACCAATGCCCCCCCACCTCACTCAACCCCCTCTCCACCAGAGTTCTTCTGCACTACTGTGGAGGTCAACTGAGACAGTCAGTTTTGTGATTGATATGATCCAACTAAACGATTTTGTTATAAAACAAACAGCAGCGGATCCTGGAGATCTGAAACAAAAACAGAAATTGCTGGTGAAACTCAGCAAGTCTGGCAGCATCAGTGGTCTGATGAAGAGCCACCAAACTTGAAACATTACATCTGCTTTCTCCCCACAGATGCTGCCAGACCTGCTGAGTTGTGCCAACATTTTCTGTTTTTGTAACTGATTTTGTTTTTTAGGAATAGAGGGGGCAATGTTGTATGATCAAATTATGAAACATTAAAAATCTGCAATGAACAGAAGGGACTGCAGGACAGCTTAAGTACTAACTTTCAACTTAATTATGAATAATTCACAACTATCACACTGAAATTACATTTGAAAAAAGTTTTTTTTGTTTCTTTGATTGATTACCATGATGCATGAAGCCATTATTACACAGTCCAACGCCAAGGGTGACCGCTTCCTCTCTGGTCTGGCAGTCGCCCTAGCAATAAAGAGACATTTTTACACCTAAAAAGAGATTTCCTTTCAAAAACAACTGCTTGTGATTGCAAGTCTAAATTTAGACACTGCTCTTTGTTACAAACAATAATCTCAACAAAAATGGCAAGAATCTCCATTGATGTTTTAAAATAGCAAATCTCAAGCTATGAATACTCACAAAGGAAGCCATGACAACAAAGAACATGTCTGGAGGTAATTATCTAAAGTTCACTCACAACCATAGTATCAGCCATAAACAAATGACTTCAGTTAAAACAGCTGACTTACATTTCGGTTTCTGATGCAAAGTTTATTTTTAAACAGTAGACACCAAGCTTTACAGAAGTACCACAAACAGTCCTTCTCTGAACATGATGTCAGTATCTTATCAGTAAATTGTTCAAAAAAAGATACACAGGCAATTTGGTGGCTGTTATCAGCATTTATTCCCTGAAGTCATCAGAATTTCATAGAAAACTAACTCAGGGCACAAATGTAACTTTGACCACTGCATGTAAAAGGATAATTCCAGTTTCTGACAACATCACGTTAGAAAAGGCTGAGACCAGTTCTCGAATTTTTTTTCTTTCATACTTCATCCCTTCATGAGTCATGACAGAACTGGACTGCAATTGAAAGTACTGCTCCCCAGATGTGCAATGATTACTAATGTCCTAAATGTTCTTTAAAAAGCAGCTAGAAGCATACTGGGACTTAACAATGTGGTAGTCAACACAAGTTGATTTATCACTGAAATACCTGTAACACAGCAAAACTCCCTTATATGCATCCTTTTATATTAACAATAGCATGCACCAAGTCACCTCAAGTGAGGTAAAAGCCACTAGCATTTAAAATGCCTCTGAAGTACCTCTGAAAAATGCAGAAAAATGTAATGAAAAACTGTACCATCAGTCACCCAAACTCAGTCTTTTCTGAGAAGTCAAGCCCATAACAATTTCCATATGTCAGTCATGCTGCCTGAGAGAGGTTCCTAGCCAAAAATGAAAAGGGGTAAATGTGAAAAGTTTACCCTGGCCTCTCATGCAAACCTCTTGATGACAGGAATGGATCTGCTTTGCCTGAAGGTTGGAAGTGGCCAACTGGCCATCTCACGGTTGAAGAATGTACAGTGGAACAAGAGGCAGAGACAAAAAATATATATACTTGCAGCCAACTTTTTACAAAGGGTTGCCAAGCCCTGGGCGATCAAACTGATAGCAGCTTAAATTAATACATGCACCTTAACAATTGAGACCCACCATGATGAGCACTCAGTGGTGCAGAGTCAAATCTGTAAAGACACTCAATGAGGGCTACATTCAGAATACACTAATTTGTAGGGTATAATCCTACAAACTTATAACCAATTATGATTCCAGAAAATATGCAAGAAATTAGAAAATACTTTATCTGGGTGTTTTACTGTAGGCGACTTTCTCACACTTGTAAGTTTTGCAATGCAACTCATCCTCAACAAACCCAACGCCCACATACTGTCAGCACACTCAAGAGGCTGCAGAGTCAAGCTGTTCACAACTGGTAACTTAGGGGAAAAAAATGCAAATTCCAAAGCAAATTTCCAAAAGTACAAACAGATAATGAGACAATCTGTCAGCAGTTGACAGCATCAACAAATGGAATTTAGGGATTAAAAAAGAAACAACAAAAATGAACTAAAATAAAGAACAAGGAGATAACTATAGGAAGAGAAGGATTAGATTAAAATGGAGAGAAGAGAGAGACAAAGGAAAAGAAAAAGCCCAATAATTATGAACTAAGATTCCAAGGTTTTAACTGTCTTCCTCGAGTATGGTTGTGCCATTAAACTTGCTTTGGTATAGCTTTCCAGTTGGCACTAGTTAAGTTTCACACCTTCTGTGATCCACAGCTAACTTTAAAAGTGAGTCTGTATCCCATTATTTGACAGCAACAGTGTGCCAAAATATCAGTCTTTATGTATTACAATCTGAACTATTTTATTGAGTACAATACTTCAGTCACCAGCATACTGAAATGGGAGGAAAAGTAAACAAAAACAGATTGGAACAGCGCATCTATCTTGTCCTCTCTCAGTATTTCTGACCTGCATTAGGAGCCAATCAATCAACTTGCTTGCTGGCACCACAGACTTGTAGGTTTTCAGGTGATGATCTCGGTCTCTGCATTTAATACAAAACATGATGATTTTTCATATATTAGTACTGGCATTTTGTTCACCAATATTAATATGTTTTCCTTTAAATGGAAAATAAATTTATACGTTTTAACTATTAATGCACTTGAAATTGTTTACAGGATCCAAAACTTCATATATTTCAACTCACAAGAAATGAGAAGTTATTGAATTAACACCAAACAGCAAGTTTTAAACCTATTAGAAATCATAGTACAAAACGTGCTGCTATGTCAACAATACAATCAAATAAAGAGATATAAAATATTTGTTTCTTCAAGGCTCCAATTTTCAGTTAAAACTCTATTCCTACAATGTTTTTGAATTAGATCCAATATGAAAATTACTTTTTGGAAATTCAAATAATGTGACCAAAAACAGTTGCCGTTTTTCATTAAAACTTCTGGGAAGAAAGTGTCAAATGGTATTTGAAGAAAACATTTATAGAGAAATCATGCCAATGATAACATCTTGTCAGCTTCATTAAATTTTGCATGTATATGTTATAATGTTTATTTCCCTTGCTAATGAAATAAAACTATTGAACAACATGTGGAGATAACATGGCAAAATGCACAATGAAACCTCCTGTAACTAAATTACAGACCCTGCTTAACGAAAGGACTTTACCAAATAAAAAGCTTGAGTACAACACACAACTACTCTCACCTTTGAATTTGTCAAGAAATTTGCAGAAGTTGTCAAGGTGCTATAGTTCAGCATATATGACATAGGTTTTAATCACTTAAATATGGAGTGTAGCTTATTTTGTTTCATTTGTCCATGTCTTCTGTTGGCCCCTAATTAATAAAACTGTACTTTTGAGGAAATCATTGTTTAATTCACAGAAAACCTATCCAAGTTGTTGCAACGATGCATTCTTGACACCTCATGCCTCCAAAGAAACAAAACAATTCATAAGGGAAAAGACTTGGCTAAATTGGATGCATGGTGATTATACAGGAGTTTGAGGAGCAAGTTCAGTATTTATGATTTGCAAAAAGGACAACACTTGGATGACACAATTTGAATCACAAAAATGCCAACAGTCAGTTTTTTAATTACATTTGGAATACAGTTGATGTTTTCTTCAAATACCATTTGACACTTTCTTCCCCACTACATTATGACATTTTTAAGTTTCATCGTCATGCACAAATGTAATGCACAGATGAAAAGAAATTCTCCCAATTGTGAAACCTCTTTAACATCAAGACAAGATTCAAAATAGAAAGTTAATCAGTCATACACAAATGATGAAAGTAATGTACTGAGGATGCTGGAAATATGAAATAATATACAATGATACCTTATAAAATACAAGAATATCGCATAATTTAGAAGCTGTTATTTTCTTTCACTCCATTAATGATAGAAGTTCATGAAGTCAAAATAATAACACTGAAAAAGAGTTACAACTTACTTGACCACAGGATTGAAGAGGCAATGTAATCGACAATACAACCTTACACCCTGTCAAGAAAAGTGTAATATTATTTATTTGCAAAATTAATGCATGCTTCCCTTAGTAATATTCAAAAATTCTCTCTCTTTATCCAACATTTGCCAAATGAAATTATTTTACAAGTTCCTTCAACACACCATGCAACTGCCACAGGCTAAGAAAATCTATTCAATGAAACTGAATCTAAAGTAAAAGAGCAATACCTTAGACATGATATCTTCCATCTCACTTCGAGGTTTGTAGGTTCCATCATCGTACCGAAACCTATACAGTACCATCTCATTTTTGAAATGGTGTTTGTCAGAAACTGAAAAATAGAAATGTCCATGAGGAATTATGTGAGAGCAGCATAAAGACATGTAATGCAAGCCATTTTAAAAATGGAATACTAATGAATTAATGACATGAACTTCTTGAAATAAGAATACATACTAAACTCTGCTGCTATATTTTAAGAATTCACAGAAATATAAACTAAGTTCCTAATGGGGCCAAGGATGAGGTGGTCCATTTCAATAGGAAGAAGAAGGAGGTTGTAAACTATTTTGATAACAGTAATCTAAATGGGTAGAGGAGAAAAAGGATTGCAAAGTGCACATGCACAAACGACAAATTAGTGACTGATTAATAAGGACATTAAAAAGCATACAAAATGCTGAAGTTCATTACAGAGGGATAGAACTGAAAAGCAGTAAATTTGCTAAACTAGTACAGAAGCCTGGTTAGGCCACACCAAATCCTGAGTGGATGAGGTGGGATAGGGGCTGAGGAGGCTAGCCAGGTCCAGTTAGGTTGGGCCAGAGAAGGTTAGGGAGTGGTAGGGAGTACTCAGACATGGTCTCCCAGCTTTGAAATTGTTTAATATCTCCTGGGTTAACTATCCAAGCAAGTTCCACAAATCTTTCCCAAATCTCCGGCTTTAGCTCAGAGTCAGACACTTGGAGAGGGTCACAGAGAGCAGGGAAATTGCCCATCAGAAGTTCAAACTTCTCGGGTAATTACCACATTGTTGTGCATATCAAGACCTCCATGATGCGCTGCTTCAGTCGTTGATTTCGTCCCCACCTATCTGGAGACGAGAAGATTTGGGCCCAATGTTTCAGCACCATAGTCATTAAAAATTGCTGAGGCAGAGGTGCCTCAAATTAAGCCAAGGTCAAATTAAATGGGCCTGCCTTAGCCTCGATAGCCAAAGCACTGAAAGAAAGCAGACAGAGTGAGTACACACTGCACTGACTATGTACAGCTTTGAAATGGACATATGAGCATATGAACGAGCATAAGAACTGGGCCAGGAAAAGATTATTAGCCCCCCTCTGCTCTGCCATTTGACAAGGTTATGGCTGATATCACTGTGGCATCAACTGCACATTTTTGCCTACCCCGATAACCTTTGACTGCCTTGTCTATCAAGAAACCATGTAACTCAGCCTTAAAAGTATGCAACAGCCCTGCCTCCACTCCTCTCCAGTAAAGAGAAATTCAGAGGTTAACAACTTCTTGAGAAAAATAGCATTCTCATAACTCTTAAATAGGAAACATGACCACAAAGTATTAACAATATATCACCAGTTCACTGATGCTATTTTACCAGCTGCAGATCATTTTTACAAAGACATGTATTAGGAGCAGGAGTAGGCCATTCAAACCCTTGGTCTGTACCATCTTTCAATAAGATCTTGGTTGATCCGATGGCAACCTTCAACCTGCATCTTGCCAACCCAGATAACATCTCACCATTTTAATAAGAATCCATCTCTGCCTTAAAAGTATTCATTAACTCTGCACATTTTCAGGAAAAGAGTTCTAAAGACTCTCGGACACAGCCTATCCTCAACTTTAATTTTAAAGTTTTAGGAAATCAAATTGCAGAAGATAAGGAATTCAGGTCCTTCATCAATTCCTCAAAAGATATAATTTTGACTTATTTTCATCCCATTATTTCATTGAGAGACTTGGTATTGTGCTCTAATTTCATCACTTCCTTCGCCTACTTGGTTTAAACATCAAGCTGTCATTGGTTTTCTCGAGTTTTGTCCAAGCGCCCCCCCTTAATAATTTCTTTTAATAACCTATAATTGTAGAGTTAGTCCCCTTCTCTATTGATAAACAAATCTGAACAGGGAATTATGTCGTACTCTAGAACATTGTTGAATCAATCAGGGCTACAGATAACAGGAGATACGTTGATGAAGATTTTCATTTTCCCAAATTTCCAGATTTCAGACCATCTGTCACCAAGAATATTTAGCTCTTAGTTATTCTTCAATCTTATATCCAAGGTGTTAGCATGGTTCGAGCTGGATCAATAATGCCCTGTTCTGTTATTTGGGATGGCTTATTACTGGAGTATAACCAACTGTTTGTGCACGCTTGGCAATCACTAGATACAGGCTTGGAAGGGTCAGATCTGAATCCCTACAGGTAGAGTCCGCACTCTCCACTTCAGAAAAAAACATCTACTTCAGTGATAATGAAAGACATAACGTGGACTCTAATTCTTCGGTTCACTTGTTCAAGATCACAATGTGATTCAAAAGTAATTTCGAACAAAAATAAGAGTGGGAGAATTTACTTAGTTAGCAAGACATTTTCTACAACAATTGCCAACCCAAAAGTCAAAGTGTGAAACAGATGACTGAGCCCTCTAAGTCTGCCCAGCATTTCACTCTTCAGCCATCTACATTTATCCCATTTTATTATTCACATCCGAAACCGTTTCTTCGGTAAAAGTTTTTATTTCAGAATTTATGAACTATTTCAACAATGGGTTGTGGCTGAAAATTCTCTAATCTAACAACCTCTTGCTTAAAGGTACCTTTTCTAAGATTTTCTTAGAATAGTCACACGGTAGTACAAACATTGCTGAAAAGAGAAAAGATGTTACTGAAGGTTATCATCTTGCACTCATCAAGATAAACACAAGAAAGCAAATTTGAAACAATCACTACAACTTACACCACAGGAGAAAAATGGGTGCTAACTGCCAATGCATTGACATGGAGACAGCATCAAGATTTTAGGGGCTTCCCAAACTCCTGGGTAATTCAGAAAAGCCTGAACATATTCCTTGAGTATGCAGAGAACAGGTCAGTGTGTATGAATGCCTGTTGCTTTTCAAATCTACAAAGGAGCCCATTAAGACCTAATTAATTATCTTGTATTGAATCAAACTTAGTTAAACAAAGTCAAATTGAACCAGTCTATGTGGCAGCCAAATGGCACCCTTTTTGGTGCAAATTGTCAGAATTGTTTGAAATTTGGCAAATTAGTGCAAAATGAAAAAAATGAGCAACATATCTCTTACTTATAATTATTAACTTTGTATTTTGCTGTGACTTTTCATGATTATCATGCAATGACAAATCGTATACGTTAAGTTCGAAAATCAAGATGGATCCTCAGCATCATCCATTAACCATACAAACAAGAACTGTTACATTTAGTCATCATTCATATTGCTGATTGTGGGATACAACTGCACACAAAATGGCTGTGGGATCAAGTTCAATTCTGAGGTCCTATTCAGGAATGATGTTTACACCATTACAGTGTTGAAATCAATGCAAAGTAAAATTGGGCATTGTGTAGAAATATGATCAACAGACCATAGTCAATGCCCCATCAGATAGGTTAGGTTAAAACTGCAAGACACATATGTGTGACCCTGCATTGCATGCATTCATCCACATGAGCATTGGGAGGCAAAGAAAGATTTACTAACGAAACTGTACAAGGCTGGCATGTTCACAAACAGTATATTGCATGATCCTGAACTGTGAGAAGATATTCAACAGACATTGCATTTTGCGGAGACTGAGAAAAGCATTCCATTTTCTGATGAAAGCACAATTTTTGTGTGATTTATAACAAGTGAGTCTGACAACTGGAGTTAATAAGCTTCCCCTTTAAGTGAAGCTGTATTCAGTCAGTGCCAATACATTTGTCCAGTTCATTTGAGATGGATCATTTCAAGGCACATCATTAACAGCTGCCTTAGACCTAGAATAATACAACAGCTTTCCTTTGCAATGCACTTTAAATATTTGCATGAATGGACTCACCATGATGAATGATGCCATTCTCAAGCAAGGCTTGACCCAGATTCACGCCTTCCTCAGCTTTACTGATCTCTCCTATGTCCATCAGCCAGGAAACAAACTCACTGGGAAAAAAAAATCATACCATGCCAAAAATTTCATAGAATTAACAAAAAAAAAACACAGGCAAGTAGTTATCTCCAGTGTTTGTGAATGGTATAAATATGTGCATTTATAGTATGTAGCAAAACAAAACTCCACTCTGAATGCTGATAGATATAATCTGATAAAAAGTCTACAATTTAGACACCTCAATGTATTAAACAGATTGCAACCTGATCATAAACAAGAATTTAGTTGAAAAGTCTCAAAAGCTTATCTTAATTGAATTCTTAGATACTTTTTAAATGAAACTTGCACAATAAATTTGTTTTTGTAAATGCTCTCAGTCAACAGGCGAGCTACTGTAGTTATAACATTTTTTTAAAGCAGCAAGTTCCTTTCCGAGAGCTAGTTGTCAGCTAAAGTACATAAACACAAGAGTTCCTTTGGCACAATTCGTAAGTTCTGACAAGTGCCTAATTCTTAAACAGTTGAGGCTTCTTTTATGTTGAATTTGGTCCACAGCCAGGCAAGGTTTTTTCAGAATGCAGAAACAAAATTTCACTTTTCATTCATTCAAATATGGTCTTTCTACACGCAGGAGCAAATATCTCATGGTGACTGCAAAACACATCCAAATGAAGTACAATGGAAAAACATCTCAATTTTGAAACATATTTAAATGATAAATAAAATATTCCTTTTAACATTACATATCAGGTTAATCTGATTTCACAAGTTGATATGTTTCAAATTGAGCAGAAAGGAACAAGCTTATACCTTCAATAGTTACAATGCAAAGGATAATATCATTGATGTAATGAGGTCAGAGGCAGATATTGCGAACAGCAAAACCAGATGACATTTTCATTATTGGAGGGGGAAATAAAGTACTGTATCTGAAGCAAACAGGGAAATCTATGCTCATCTGCAGAAGGAGGAGTTGAAAGCCTACACTTAGATTTTCATATCCATATTTTTTTGTGGTCCTAATTTGGTTCAAGATCCAGGGGCATCATGTACTTAAATTTTTACCTTAGAACGGTTGGTCACTTCAGTCTTTACGCATAAATTCACAATTGAAATTCAACACTATTTATTTCAAAAACATTAGCAACAATTTACAATTAGCAGCAGAAACCAAGAAAGTGTTAACCTTTGAAAAACCGTTTAAGGTTCTCATAACCTCATTGCTGCTGCAGTTCTAAGTATGTCTTCTACTCAGGCTATGAACTGAAATTCAATAGCTACAGTGATTAAGCACCAGAGATTACCCTTCATACTTTGAATTTAACACTACTGACAAGAAGCCCATCCTTGCAACATGGTGCAGATATGATGAACTTAATACCACATCTCATGGAATACATTCAATCAGGATACACAGAAAGTTGAAGTTACTGTGTAAACACCTTTTACCACAGCAAAAATTTCCCAACAATTTAAAGTTCAATATGGTATGACCTGCGTAAATATACAGCTAACCTAGGGGATACACAGGCTGAGTGCCGCAAAAATCATAAAGCACTCACTTGTTTTCATTGTGATTTTCAAATCCATGCAATGGAAAATATCTGGCTTTGTTAAACCATGCAGTTTGTATTCAGTGCCAATTTAGACAAAAATGATTAATTGTTTTAGCTTAAATACTAGATAGTAATGTCTTTGCAATTAGACCCCATCAAATTATATCTGATTTGGCAAACCAAAATGAAGTCAACAGGAAATCAAGTGTATAGTCTTTCAAGTTACATGAATAGGACATGAAAATTGATGCTGCCTTACTTGCCAAAAAAACACTTTGGGACAACAGACAACTTTCTCCTCCGGTCTTTTATGAGGTTTCCTTTCTTGCTCATCATCATGTGATAAAGCTTCTCTCCCTTCTCAGAGATCATGACATATGCATCACGCTCCATGCCCAACTTCAGACCTAGAAATCAAAGGTTAGAGAATATCACACGACCAATTCACAGAACATTCTTGGCAGTGAAGTAGTTCACTCCATTTGTTGTTTAAAAATGTGAAACAAATTGAGTGTTCAATTTAGATTCTTTAAACTTTAGAATACAAATGAGCATCTCTTTTAAATTACAGCTTTCAGTTCCATTTTACTAAATCACTGCACGTCAACACAGATCAGAACAATCTATCTCATCAAGCATTGATGTGAAGGCACAAGAGATTAAATGTAGGGTAAAGTTCCCTTCACAAATTCAACATTGTGCCAGCACCTACCTCCAAAGAATAAACTGCACAATAGGAATGCAATTATATTTCAAAGATTCAATTGCATTTAGTGGCTTAAAAAAATCAAGTCCAGACAACTTCCCTTCATCATTCAGCATTCCAATTTATAGAATACAAAGATTTCCTCTGACTCAAAATAGTACCCATGCTTAAGCATTTGAATTATTGGCAGAAAAATAGTGCAGGTGGCAAGAGATGAGAAGAGTTAGCTTTAATACTAAAATTCCTCACTAGGACCTGATTTATCATGAATCAATGAATAAGCATGGTAAGTGGTGCTGAATTTCAATGTCCATAACATCAAAGTGGCAACACAAAACAAACTACCCTGTCTAGGTTTGTTTCTCATGCTGAAAACTTATACCCACCAATATTGCTCATAAAAATTAAGAAAATTGGGAATTAGAACTAAAGTTGCTGGAAAACCTTAATCTACAAGCCAAGAATGAAGTTACACTCACATAACCACTGCGACAATAACAGTGCTACAGTTCAACACTTCACCCAGCACTTTGGGTCAGGTTTTTGTGCAACTGTAAAAGCTTGCAAAGCTGCATGGATCAAAAATGGAACTGAGAAGAATAGGGCCATATATGTAAGCATCAGAGATGCATAATCAGCCGGAGAAAATGATGCTGCTAGAGGACAGGGTCTTAGGAGGAGTATCCCACAGCTTAAACAGAGGTAGGTGTTAGAAGTGGCTTAAAAGGAGGGAGAAGTAAAGAGGCAATGGGGAAGTCCTTGTTCTACACAAACCAATATTGCATTTCTATGTTCTTATGGGCTGCATAATTGAACCTAGTTAAATGCAGTAGTGTGTGAACACTAGGGGAAATAACAAGCCTAAACACTGTCAACCTGCACTTAAGTTCTTTGGACTTAGGCTGGACTATGGTCTGCTTCAATGGAGAAAAGGTGGGTATTTCCCGTCAAGCATAAAGAATCTCTGTTACCAATTTCTCAGGAACATGAGTCAGTGAAAGTTAGAAAGTAAGTGATCAGTTTTAACATGTGTCAGACATTCACCTGCTTAAAAAAAACACTTAAATATTAGAAATCTAACAAGATAAATGTGAGTTCATCAAATCATCTCTGGACTTGACATCCAGAGACTCAGGTGATGCTCTGGGCACCCAGTTTCAAATCCCACCACATCAGATAGAAGAATTTGACTTTAAAAATATCTTGCACTTGCAAGTCTAATGGTAACTAGGCAACCATTGTTGAGTGTCAGAAGACACCCCATCTTGTTCACTAATGTCCTTTAGGGAAGGAAATTTGCTGTCCTTCCCTTATCGGGCTCACATGTGACAAACGGTAATGTGGGTCATTCCTAACTGCCCTCTGACACAGTTTTGCAAGGCATTCATTTATTTGCATCAAAACTTCTAAAGTGTCTCAAAAAAAAGGAATGAAACAGGATGAACCGCCTGGCAGTTAAAAACAATGGCAAACTCAGCCTTGTTGACTCTGTTAAAACCTCCTTACCTCATCTCACCTTACCATGTACCAGGCACTACCATTGCCTGTCTTACCAACAGGACAAACCCAGCAGAGGTAGTGGCACAGCGGTATGCAGTAGGGAAGGCATTTAGAATCACAGCATTGTTATGGTGTATATGGATCTCAATCAGCCCATCATATCTGTACTGGCTCTCTGAGCAATTTAGCTTAGTGCCACTCTCCTGCTGATTCCCATAACCAATATGTGATTTATATAAACTCAAACATTCAATGCCTTCTTGTCTACCTCAAATGACCCTGTCTCCACCATAATTCCAGGCAATGCACTCCTGACATTAACTACTCGCTGTGTGAATGTTTTTTTTCCTCACCCTGCATTTGTTTCTTTTGCAAAATACTTTAAATTTATGCATTCTGATTTGCAATCATTTACTGGCTGTAGCAGTTTCTCCCTAACTACCCTTTCCAGATATTGCAAGATTTTGAAAGCTTCTATCAGGTTTCCTGTTAATTTTCTCCTCTCCAAGGAAAACAGCCCAAGTTCTCCAAATTTTCCTCATAATTGAAGTTTCTCATCTCTGGGGCCATTCTCACAAACCTTTTTTGTATGCTGTCCACTGTATCAGATCCTTCCTACAGTGTGGCACCTAGACCTGTACACAATACTCCAGTTGAGCTCTATCTTTTATCAGGTAGCCAATCTTTTGTCCTTGCTAACCCCCAACACTATATGGGATCTTATAAGTATCCTTGTGTGTGGTAAAGCATTGAATGCTGTTTGAAAATCTAAATATATTATATCTACTAGTTCCCCTTTATATATCCTGCTTGTTACTTCCTCAAAGAACTGTAATAAATTTGTTAGACATGATTTTCCCTTCATGAAACTATGTTGACTCTGTTTGATTATATTGTGCGCTTCTAAATGCTCTGTAACTATGCTAAAACTACTGTACGCTGCTAAAATTCTCTTTTAATAAACTCCCAACATTTTTCCAATTACAGATGTTAGCTAACTGACCAATAGTTATCTGTTTATTGACCCCCTTCCTTTTTGATAAGTGTTACATTTGCAATTTTCCAATCCTTTGGAATTTTTCCACAATCTAGGGATTATTAGAAGATTACTGCCAATGCATCCATTATTTCAGTGGTGACTTATGTTGAACTTCAGCTGCTACCTGTCCGCCCACTCCAAAAACATATCAATGTCTTTTTGAAGTTCTACACTGTCCTCCTCACAATATACAATGATCTCAAGTTTTGTAGTCCACAAAAATTGAAATTATCCCCTGCCCACCAAGATCTAGATATATCAGGAAAAGCAGAAGCTCAAATACCAAGTCTTAGGGAACTCCACTTCAAGTTGGGACTCTTGGCTTTTCACATTATGGCCGGGCTGAAGGAATTCAACTGGCTACAAAATGGTCAGATGCCACATGCCACAGAAATCCCTGAAAACACAAGAATCCTGCTGTTCCCCAGCCCCACCCATACCTCAAACTATATGCATCGGATGTCAACTGTACAGCCTTCGCACTATAGTAGCTACAGCGCACCTTAAATCTAAAGTGGTGCTGAGATCATAAATCTCAGTATTTGCTTGGTACAACAAATGGAGATTCAGAAAATACTGGCAACTGAGCAAGGCACGCACAAGGAAAACCATGCGCAATGATCCACAGAAATGTGATCAATTTAGCATGGAAGGTCTAAGCAAAAGAGAATAATTACAATGAAGTGAACTTTAGGCAGCACTTATTCATATTCTTGACAACAGCAATCCCTTATAGATGTGCAAACTTTGTGGCCAAACTCATTTGCTTCAACGGGGTCTGCAGTAGAAATAATATGTTGCATTAATTTTCTGGAAATGTATGGAGTTCAGTGGTTCCAGCGATGGATGTAAATGTGTACACTGGGTGCACTATGTTATAAAGTTACAAGTTGCAGCCACAGTCAATGAAGCTGGAATTTATTACAGCAGATGTTTATTTATGAACCAAAAGTCTTGAAAAGATTAACTCATTTCTCCTCTTGTCAACACAGTTCATGTGGAGAGGATACAGAATACATTTTTAATTGGTTCTTTTAACACCAGGTAGTTTAAATTACATGAAAACATAACAGACAGCAAGAGCATCTCTGGAGTACCAATTTAGAATTGCATATGCAGTTTTTGTAAATCTCACATACCTGATCATTTTCCTTTCACAGACATACAACTGCTACATTTCACATTTGGCACCCAATTTTCAATCTCAATGCAACAAAATCAGCTGCAGGATGGGATTTGTATTTCGTAAGCAGTAGGTATATAATAATTTTGAATAGAACATAGAACAGTATAGCACAGGTTCAGGCCCTTTGGCCCACCATGTCTGTACTGACCACAATGCCATTCTAAACTAATCCCATCTGCTTGCACATGATCTGTATTCCTCTGTTTCCTGTCTGTTCATGTGTCTGTCTACAGGCTTCATGCTATTGTTTCTGCTTGTATCACCTCTCCTGGCAACATATTCCAGGCACCTATCAACTTCTGCATAAAACTCTTGCCTCACACATCTCCTTTAAAGTTTCCCCCTCTCACCTTAAACCCATGTCCCCTAGTATTTGACATTTCCACTCTGGGGAAATGACTGACTACCCATGCCTCTCAGAATTTTAGAGACTTCTATCATGTCGTCCTTGAACCTCCAATACTCTAGTGAATACAATCCAAGTTTGTCCAACCTCTTCTCATAGTTAATATACTCCTTTTGAAGGCAACATCCTGGTAAACCTCTGCACCCTCACCAGAGCCTCCACATCCTTCCTATAGTGTGGCAACAACAACTGCACACAATATTCGAATGTGGCCTAACTAAAGTTTTATTCAGCTGCAACATAACTCACCAACTCAATGCCTTGACCAATGAAGCAAGCATACCCTATGCCTTCTTACCACCTTATATACTTGTGTTGCCACTTTCAAAGAGCTATGGACTTGCACCCCAAGATCCTGCTTTATATGCGTGCTCCTCAGAGTCCAGCCATTTACAGTTTATTTCCTCTTACACTTTACATCCCAAAATGTATCACCTCAAACCTGTATGGAATAAACTCCACCTGCCATTTCTCTGCCCAACTTTCCAACTGATCTACATCCTGTTGTCTCCTTTGACAACCTTCCTCACTATCCACAATTCATCAGGTTTCATGTGCTATGGACATTTC